CGGGCAGCAGCCTTGGAGGGACCGAAGCATCGGATTCCAACTATAGAGAGACCAGATATGTTAGTGAATCTGAAGGCACAGGATCGGAATCGAGAAGAATAGGTTGGTATAAAGTGAACTTACCAGCCTGGAAGTAACCTTGGATACCGTCGACGAGAGGAGCCTCGGGGCCGGGGACGACTAGGTTGACACTGTTCTTCTGAGCAAAGGCAACCAGACCGGGGTAGTCATCGCCCTTGACATTGGCATTGGCGATCTTGTTGGAGGCACCCAGACCAGTGCCACCGTTTCCGGGAGCGACGTAGACGATGTCGACCAGAGGAGACTCGCTCAGCTTCCAAGCCAGAGCATGTTCACGGCCACCATTGCCGACAATGAGAACGCGTAATTGTTCGGAAGCCATTGTGAAAAGCAGTGTCTCGAGTGACTGTGTTGAAGTTGTTAGCGACTGTGGGAGTCCATCGCGGGTATGCCCCTCCTCCGCTGGGATTGGAGGGCCAGGGAATGGAATTGAGGGGTCGAGAAAGAGGAATGCCAGAATCTTGGGATAAGATAGCCAGTGCGGATAAGAAACTAACCTCGAGAGACCTGAGAGGCAACTGCAAAGGGGGTGGATTGCGGTCGAGAGGGACTTGGTAGACTTTGTAGATTGGATTGAAGATAACTTTTTTTTCTGCCGGCGGAACGATTTTCTCCGCCGCGTGGACTGACTCATGTATGGGTATGGGGGAAAATCATTTATGCATTTACATTTGGAATTCTTCATTAGTGAGCAGAATTGAACTTGGAGTATTTAGCAAGGCTGAAAGAGAGCCTAAATATGTAAGATTGTATTTTCTATCAAAGATTTACTAGTACAGTGCCTGTTAGAGTACCGACCAAATCAGACAGATACCTAAGGCGGGAAAACTTTAATTTTATAGGCAGTATCGATATTAGAATAGAATAAGATGAGAATTAGTGTTCTCGTAGAAAATTATAATTACCAAGACAACTGCTGATTTTGCTTAGTTCTATCAATACATACATATCCCAATGCCTTAATTACTCATTTCTTCATATTTAGCACGTTAGTTAGTTGTCTACTAGTTTCAGTCCTGATCGCTCAGGCATCAATTACAAAGCGGTGACGCGAGGCAAAAAACATTCTGCGGCGCGGAGGTTTGCCTGCGGTCAACTCGTTTTCGCGCGCCATCTTTGTCAGGAGACATCCCTTTCTTTTTCTTGTTCTCCTCTCGATTGGAGTCAAGTGGACCGAATGCTTCGTCTTTCAACTCGGTCTGTCCCAGGCCCAACACGAAGCCATGTCTGCTTCTCCTGTCTAGCGGTCCAATCCAGCGCGCAAGCCAAATTCCGCCAACTGCACACCACACCTCCCACTCTTTCCAAACACAAGACTGCAAAGACTAGCAAGCAATGGAAGAAGAACTTTGAGGATCCAGATGCGGTATGTTGCATTTTTTTGGTTATAGAGAATAAGACACTGACGCAATTGGCTACCATCCAGAAATCCAACCATCGGAAATATGAGCGGAAAGGAAACTCCAAAAGATCGGAATCCGGCGGGGATAAGGCGACCAGAAAACAAGATGCCGACGGCGAGACGACTGAACAAAACCGACTGGACCCAGTTCAGGCCTCCAATGACCAAGTCTTAACCGCATTTGATATCCCCGAGCCCGAGAAACCATCCTCATCCATGAACCCAGAGGCCAGGGCTAGGAAGGAGACTGCTGGAGAAGATAGGGCACTCCTCAAACACGTTGCGAAAAATATCGAGAATAAGTACACTGGATCAATCAACTCAACAGGCCAGCAGGTGAAACGTAAGTTCGAACATTGGCGTGAAATGCAGGCCCGGCCCCATTGCTAAACATTATTTAGCACTTGATGTCCCCACGGCGCCCGTTCCTGGTCTTTCTTTTGGACTTGACCGAGTTTTGTTCAAGTAAGTTTGCCAATTTCATCTCTCGTGCTCTACCATCAGTACTCTAACATCAGTACACAGCCCCGGTGTCTATCATCTACGGGATCCTCGCTCTCGCGTCTACAATTTCGACCCTTATCTCGGCTCGATCATGCCCGTCACCGAATTCGATTTCAACACGTTGAAGGACTATATTACGTCCTCCAAGGACGAGACTCTCCGCGAAGTCGCCGTCAAAGCGAACAAGAAGTATATTGGGTCCTCCTCCAGCATGACCTCGGTTCTTTCCCACTTTCATTTTCTTCTGTCTGGTTGGAGAGAAATCGACGTCCGCACCGTCTCCCAGGGATTTCCGGAGAAGATGCGCAGCTTCACTCGCCTGCTTCGATCACCAGCCGCCATGTTCCTCCATTACCAGGATGGCACTTATGCAATTGACGCAGACAAGGAGTTTGATTCGGCCAATATTTTGATGAACCTTGGAAAGTCCATGGAGAAACTTCTCACCTTGCCAAAGGAAGAATTCGAGCGCTATCGACGCTCGCATGAGAACAAGATATCTGCCGAGGAAGAAGAATCAATTCCAGAAGCTTACCACTACTCTACCTATGGGGACTTTGTTATGCGCTCGCAGCTGGACGCCTACGACCCCCGTCTACCCGGAACCGGCATGTTTGATCTGAAGACACGAGCCGTTGTCTCCATTCGCATGGACGCAAAGAACTTCGAGCAGGGACTTGGATATGAGATCAAGGACCGGTACGGAGCCTTTGAATCCTACGAGCGTGAATTCTACGATATGATCCGCGCTGCCTTCCTCAAATACTCGCTGCAAGTGCGTATTGGTCGTATGGATGGTATCTTCGTCGCATTCCACAACATTGAGCGCATCTTCGGATTCCAGTACGTGAGCTTGCCAGAGATGGATCAGGCTCTGCACGGCCAGTCTGATACCGCTTTGGGCGACACCGAGTTCCAGCTCAGTCTAGGAATGTGGAATGAGGTGTTGAACAAAGCTACAGAGAAGTTCCCCAAACAGTCTCTACGCTTCCATTTCGATTCGCGTGACACCGTCACGCCTTTCATGTATATCTTCGTGGAGCCCGTCACTCAAGATGAGATCCACGCCATCCAGAATAAGAACAAAGATGAGATCGAGGAGTATCAAAACCGTCTTTTGAATCTTATCCCGAAGGAGGAGGACTTCCCGCTCGAGCCTGGTTTCCGAGCCCCTGAATCCGAAGTTGTCGAAGAGTCCCAGCAATCAGAGGAATCCGAAGCAGAGACCGCCCCCGGCGTCTACGACTCATCGCTACCCCCAGACGAAACCTTCAACGCCGAACAAACCGAGGCACTCGAACCAAAGGGCCCCCTGCTAGCATACTGCCTGACAGCCAAAAATCTTGTCAACGGCAAGCCCGTGAAGAGGCCGGAAAACTTCTCCTCCGCAGACCTGTGGACTGTCGACTGGGAGTTAAGTGAGCTGAACGATAAACAAGGACGACACTTGTACAACATGTGCCAAACGCGACGTCAAAAAGCCCTCGCAGGCCGAGGCGATGAGGAACTTAATGATCACAACAAGTTCTACCTCCGCAATCTCCAGAAGCTCGCGCGCCAGGGACGCAAGTACCGCGCACAGGAGAATAAGCGCGATAAAGAGGAGGGTATTGTGGTGTTGGATGGTGAGGTGTAAAAGATTTTCCATAGGGGAACTTAAAACATCGTGCCCTATCTTTTAGGGTGGTTTCGATACCTATTTGAGAGAGCTTAGGTCTCTCTTCTTTGTACATTAGTAGATATTTGTTTTGTTCTTGTTCTTTTTTTTTACTCCTTTCAACTCTGGCATTGTTGGGCATTGGTCTTTGATTTCAAAATCATTGGGGTTGAAATGTTTTCTTTATTGGGCTGTATATCTATCATTGAAGGTCTCTTGAATTCATATGAGCGGAGTGTTCTTTCTACATTTCATTGTTGATTGTAGCTCTTTCGCTTCCAGGGGTAGAACGCACCCTACTAAGCTGAGATGAAGCATCGAAACATTGGATTACGCGGGAATACAACTCTTCATGGCCGTAATCAGCCCAGTGATTCTGACGGCGCGGCGACAGCCTCCCAAAATTACCAATGTTCCTATAGGCCTTGCCCCTTAGCAAAGCTATCCTGCCCATGCAAATTACCCTTGATTCTAACAATTCAGGGCTCTGAGAATATAACTGCCCAGGTGGGTAGGACCTAAAGTCGTATAATGTTTACAAACAAAAATAATCAGGCAATAGTAGTAGCAGCGCTACTTTTGTATACAAACAAGCGATCAGATAATGGTCATTAGATAGTAAGTAAAATTACTTAGTGATGACAATAATAATGTTAAGTACAATTGCATAACGATGGCAATTAACTTTATAGTAATAATGATACAGTACTTCCAGAAATCGGTGTGGTGTTGATTGTTTTTCGAGTTTAATGCCAAGGTCCAACATAACTCTGAGAGGTATATTGCTGTGTCGTTACATTTCCAGTATTACAATTTACTCAATATATGCCTCGACAACGTAGTATGAGCAAGCCATGGTACATGAAATTTCCCATAGAAATGCAAACAGGTCAAACGCAAAATCCTCTTGAAAATCGGGCGAGTTTTTGCCTTGTGGGGTGGAATACACTCTTGTTAACGATGATGATACAGTCATTCTCGAAATCGGCTTGACCAGTGCACACTTAGACTCTCTTTCTTGGCCCCACCGCCAAGGCCTTAGCGCAGATCATTTATTGAGCAGCCCACGTTAAACTGAGTGACGCAGTAAAATGCGGTTTGTATATTACAGGTCATAGGCACGTAATAGTACATTATGCGTACGAAAAGTCCGTGGAGTTCCATGGAAACTTATAGTGGGTTTCCGCAGATCTGACCTGGCGAGGCTGTATTATTTCCTATTTTGTTGGAGTTTTGCCTCTTGGTATCGTCTCTCCTGGTCCGCCGTAGATAGTATTTGAACTCATATGATACTGTAATAATCTGTTCATTTTATGCACGCTATAAGTTGTATGCACCATTTTCTACCCGCGATGTTTAACTCATCTGATCAATCCGCCGGCTTCTAGTGCGATCTAGGGGCGCGGCCTTGTGACTGCCTGCCAGTCCTCGCTGGCGAATCTCTACTTCTTCCTGCTTGGCTTGATCAGAGTAAAGAAGACTAAGGTTATGGACTGTATCAAGAGTAGATGTATGATCAGGACCTAGGGTCTTCTCCTTGCCTGCCAGTGCTCGCTGGTACATCTCCTCTGCTTCCTTCAGCTTCCCCTGTTTAGCGTAGAGATTCCCAAGGTTGTTGACTGTCTGAAGAGTAGATATATGATCAGGACCCAGGGCCTTCTCGTAGCCTACCAGTGCTCGCTGGTACATCTCCTCTGCTTCCTTCAGCTTCCCCTGTTTAGCGTAGAGATTCCCAAGGTTATAGACTGTATCAAGAGTAGACGTATAATCAAGACCCAGGGCCTTCTCCTTGCCTGCCAGTGCTCTCTGATACATCTCCTCTGCTTCCTTCAGCTTCCCCTGTTTAGCGTAGAGATTCCCAAGGTTGTTGACTGTCCGAAGAGTAGACGTATGATCAGGACCCAGGGCCTTCTCGTAGCCTGCCAGTGCTCGCTGGTACATCTCCTCTGCCTCCTTCAGCTTCCCCTGATCAGAGTAGGGATTCCCAAGGTTGTTGACTGTATCAAGAGTGGACGTATGATCAGGACCCAGGGCCTTCTCCTTGCCTGCCAGTGCTCGCTGGGACATCTCCTCTGCTTTCTTCAGCTTCCCCTGTTCAGCGTAGAGATTCCCAAGGTTGTTGACTGTCCGAAGAGTAGACGTATGATCAGGACCCAGGGCCTTCTCGTTGCCTGCCAGTGCTCGCTGGTACATCTCCTCTGCCTCCTTCAGCTTCCCCTGATCAGAGTAGAGGATTCCTAAATTATCAAATGCTTCCCACACCAAAATATTATGGCCTGAACAATCCCTATGACGTACATAGTTCGCATGTGGAATAAGCCGCTGCTGAAGCTCGTAATAATTTCTGACACTTGTACTAGGGACAGTGTACCCAACAGATACCAATGCCAGCTCATTAAGCTGGATTGGATTCACAGTTTTGTCTGCGCTGGCGAGGTGAACGCACCAATCTTGTACCACCGGGTGCATAGCGTAGCCCCCTTGTTCCTTAACCTCGAGTAGAGAGAACCCGATGAGAGCCTTGACACCGATCTTAAATGCAATTCTGTTTGATATAGTTCTTTCGAGCCAAATTGGGAGATTTGAGTTGTGACAGCTACCTTTTATGAGTTCATACCAAATATCTCTATTATCGAAACAAGCAAGGAACAGAAGCAATTCTGCTGCGTTCGTGTCTCGCTTCTGAATCTCACGATATGAGATCATCCATGTTTGCAGCATATTGCCTTGCTGGTACTGGCGTTCAGGATTTGATTGCAGCTGTAGGTCGGACCAAGATACTTGGTAGTACTGTAAGTACTCAGTGATGCTGGTTCCAGTTTCACGCATAAACGCCCCGGCGATGACGATTGCCAATGGAAGTCCATCAAGACGGTTCGCAAGAGCAACGGTATCTATACATATTAGTATCATAAATAATATTCAAGTATCAAGTCCATTCATACCGGGATTGCTCTTAAGCTCCTCAGCTATATTATTCATTGATAGACGGCTGCTTTGTAAGAGCAGTTGAATCGCATCCTTCAAGTCAAGCCTATGGATAGGAAATGACTTTCCCAGTTCCGTCAACCCTTGCAGCCGAGAGGTAATGAGAATAGAGCCATGGTCGGCTCCAGGGAAGAATTCAGCAATATCATATGCATCACCAATGGGGCTAGGGGAGTATTGGTCGATGTTGTCGAAAATGATCAGCCAGCGTGAGTTTCCCTCTATTGCTAGCCACTTTAACACATCTCTAGCTCGTTGCTCCACTTCCTCGTCATTCATCGCCCCGTCAGCATGTGACTGCCCTGGTAATCGGGGTAAGATAGAGCTCAAGGATTGCAAGATTGTGACTCGATCCTTGCCACTCAGCCAGAAGATGGCTGAGAAATCGTGCTTGCGGTCTCGTGCGAAACGAATCGCTAGTTGTGTCTTTCCCATCCCGCCAAGCCCGTGAACAATTGCAACCTTTCGTGATCGGGAATCCGTGGGCTGTAAATACTGCCAGAGTCGGTCTAGTTCACCTTGCCGTCCCAGAAAACTTTCAATCACTGGCACAGCCGTCAGGTCTAATGGGACGTCAAAGCGGTGGACTATTTATGTGAACGACGAATCAGCAATGAATTCGAACTAGTTAAGGAGTTCTGTAGACATTCTCTCACCAGAGTCTGCTAGTGTGTCTCGTGCAGTTGGGGTACTGTTGATCTGATCGATTGCAATCACCAAGAGAAGCTCTTTCGCGTAGGCCGCCGCCACTGCCGCCGCATATCCTTGCCATTCCTTATTCTTGTGTGAGTCGGCGTAGTCGCAGATACCCCGAATGACCAGACACGGAAAGTCATTCATGAGTCCCGCCGCTTCCATCTCCACACAATATATACCTAAGTCTTGAGCCAGCTGATCTCGCTGCTTGCCATCCTTCACAACTTGATTTGCCGATCCGATGAGTCCGTAGTGAATGACTAGTTTTTGGTGCTCTCGTCGGGTTCGTGAAACTAATCTAGATCTATCGCAATCAACACAGGTATCAGATATGATATGATCATATTCTGCTTGGAATAGACAATCCTCCTGCGTCGGTCGCGTGAATTTGGTAGCTTTGTGGGGCGCCATTTTTGCTTGCAGGTTGGAAACAAATTCGATGATCCGACTATCTTCTGTGAGGTGATGTGCTTGGACAATCGCGAGAGCAGTCAACAGAACCTTGGGAGGTCGATTAAGCATTCCGGTTCGCTTGAATTGGCCGCCGCTTAGCGCTTTCCCTAAATCGTACTGGATCACGCCTCCAGATGTGTCCGTCGGCTGGCTCACTACAATATCCCCGAGTCGAATGTCTGCATTGCTGGTTGGTACTCCGCCGCCAATACCAACCATAAAACCGCAGCGGATGGCGTTAAAACTAGACAGCAACTGCATCCCAACCGTCGCAGCTGACGTATTACCATGTACACCAGTCGGCAAACTAGCAATAACGACATTGTGTTCCCCGATGCTTCCAAAAATGTATGTATTTTGGTCCCTCGGCAGGCGAGGCAAAAGCGGGTGTATATTATCCAACATCAGCTTCGCAGCCGCCGTCTCCACTGGTAAGGCGCATATCCATCCGACCGTATAATCATCGTGTGATCGGGTCCTGGCATCCATAGTAGACTGACTCTACCCCGGTCCGACTGTGCCTTTGATTTCTATCCCTTAAATTTGTGTGGAACATAGGAGAAAGAATACAATGTAAAGTGGAGGCTGTGGGGATGATGTCGGGAGTTTGTCAGGAGAAGGCGGGGTTGAGATGAGGCTGCACCCTAGACGGAGATTCGACGGCAGACCTATGCCGCGGCTATCAACCAACGTGACGAAGACTCTCCCGGCAACGATAGTTGTCGACAAAGCCCAGAATTTCCTACTCTCACATCTGATCGACGCCCCTGGGGATTTCTTCAAGCATGGACAGACAAGCTTGGATATACGATTGGGTTCTTTACCCATGAACTAATCCAAGAGCCCCGACGTGTACTAGCATTTGTGTTATTCTATCCGGTTACAATAACTCAGACCCGTGATAAGATTCTAGGCATGCCCTGTGCTAAGCTCGACAGTACAGATTACAAAATCATTGGCCTACCAGCACTAGGTTTCACCAAGAATACTTACTTCTACATCAAGATAATCAAGCATTTGGCCAGACCCTCTGAAAGAATAATATTGTTTCTCTACCCAAACTCATTTATTATAAGTACAAGTAGGATATTGACTTTAATTAAAACAGCCAGGAAGTGATAGACCCAGTAGCCTGGATTGCTCCAAGGTTAGGCTCAATTAGTACTACGCAGAATAGCTTCACTGGGAGGATGACAGAGCCTTATGAGAACACCGTGACTACTACTACTTTCTACAACCTATTAGGTATAGAACAATCCACAGAAGAAACTTCTGACTCGAGACCTGATATTCATTCAAGTTATGCCCACACGCTACCAATGGATCTTTAGACAACAGCATTAACAATTACCACAGCTGAGTGAGTAGTACCAAGACCAGCCAAACCAGCCCAGCAAACACCCATGACTACCATCATAAAAAGCAAAGCAAAGCAATCATGTAAGGTTCACGGTCACATTGAGAAGCCCTAGTAGGCAGTAGGATAGGATATAGAACGAGAAAAAACAATGACGAGTATAAATAAGGCAATGGCAACAATGATGGGAAAAGAAAATGAAGAAGAAAAGAGAAGCAAAAAAACGCCGTCGCTGCGAAATGCCGGAGCGCCTCGCAAATGATATCCACAAGAATCACGCCAGAAATGGAGGAAGAGAAGCAAATAAAAAAAGTAACTGCAGGAGAACTCCGTCTTGATAGTGGTTTGATCAAAAAGTAGAGCAGAGTTGCAGAATGAAGGTTCTTTTTCAAGAAAAGGCAAGGGTATCGAGAGCCAGAGGCTGGCTGGTTGGCATTCTGAAACGAGACAGAGAGCCTCGGAAGAATGACCAGGAGTTGAGCAGGTCGAAAAAAAAAGCTCAACATGGCAAAAGATCCATATATAGGAGGCGAGAAAGTCGTGTGCGCTCGAGAATCCTATACAGGAATTTCTGAAGACATGCTTCGTGGAGAAGTGAATGGGAGGTGGTGATATAGGTAGGGCGTTGTGGGATGATTGATTCCCTTGCTGTACATCTCGCATATAGCGAATGAAAGCTACTGTAGCTCCTGCAAATCGAGTTTTGGCGGTGTCCAGTCTAGCTGTGGGGGGGCTGTCGTTTGATACATTTGATACACAGACAGGGCGTATCGATTCCACTCGTCGTCGCTCCTTCAAGGCGCTGCCAGTCAGGAAGTTTCTTAGGGAGGATGAAGCCGTCCCGTATGTACTGCGCGCGCTACCAGTGCCAGTTGAGACGGTGCTGGAGCTGCGGGCACTGCGAACACTGCTTGCCTTGGTCACCGCTGAGGGTAAAGGAGGGACGGGAAGGGCGAGGCGCGAGGAATCAGGGCTGGAAGAACCGAATCCGGGTGGCATGATTTGCGATGTGCGTGCGGTTTGTTGTCGCAGGTTGGGCACACTTTTCATTCGGCTGGCCGTGCGCGAGGCCTTGGATAAGGCCTTGGGTCTAGGCTCTGAATCGCGGCGTTCGGTTGATGGTAGAGCCGTGACTTCCTGAGGGAGGTGGATTGATGCAGCCGAGTCGTCAGGGGGAGAGGCGTGAACTTCGTCTGCAGATACTGCAACTTCGAACTTGAAGTTATCGAGCATTGTTCCCAGGCTTGCTGCGGTCCCAGGACGTCCATCACTAGCTGCGTCATCTGTTTCCGGATCTTCGATTCCATGAGTAACATTGTAGTTACGCAGGAGGTACCTCTGCAATCGAGAAATTTCCATATCCCATTTGCGGTGGAGGGACTGCAGAATAAATTCCACGTTCTGAGCTGCAAGTTGCGAGTTCTCGGTAGGCGACACGGAAAAGTTGGCTGGTTGATGTTTGCTTAGACGGTGACTCTTAGTACCCATGGCTGCATGCAAAGAACGGCGAATCGAGTTTGCCGTCGAGCTATGAGTGGTGCCCGCATCCCAGCGAACGTTGTCGACTTCTCGACGAACCTTGTCGAGAGACATATATCGGTCTTGGTTCATATTGGAGAGGCTGAGTAGGGTACGGTTGCATTGTAGACCATTAACCAGTACTGTGAACGACTGTAGATTGATGTCATTGTTCTCGCAGTGCACTTCGCGTAGATATTCGTTTTCCTCAAGTACAGATGCCAACGTGTTTGCGCCTTGAAGGCCGAGTTTTTGATGCTCAATCTTCAGGACCTTGAGTGATGTGTTCTTCTTCAGACCAGTCAGTGCAAGATTGAGACCAATTCCGAAGCGTGCAACGTCTAGATGCGCACTCTCTCCGCTAATGTCCAAAGCTTCGAGGGTATCGTTCTCCTCAAACATCAACTGGAGCGCTCGGCACGTCTCCGGACCAGCATCATATGGAAGAGAAGCTTTCGAGATATCCAGATAGCGAAGAGTATTGTTCTGGCGCACCGCATCGACCAACTGTCGGAAATGCTTCTCTTTCTTGAAGTCAATCATCTGCATGGAAAGGTGGGACGGAGTCAGGTTTTTAGCGATCGCATCAAAAAGGAAAGAACAGCCATTGTCAAGACGATTCTCGTTGACATGCAAATGGAGGCTTCGCGGTCTGCCTGGGTCGGTAGACATCGAATGCATGAACATGGCAATATCCTCTCCACTCAGGCCACACTGATCAAGGCGAAGCGTGCGAAGATTTTGGGACCGATCACTGGCCAGATAAGTAGCGAGAGAGTCCACAGTTTCGCGGTTCACCGCTGTTCGACTGAGAATCAGTTCTTCAAGCCGCCAATTGAACAGCATCTCTGCTGTTATCAGAGGGTCAGAGCCCGATGTCCTGGCGATGCGAGAAAGATTGACCTTCCTTATCTGGCCAAAGTACCCAATATACTGCTGCAGGACATCGGGATTCAAACGGCCTTGCACCCCCGAGATGTTGATAGCTTCGAGCGTTGACTCTTGAGCAACGATGGTAGACAGCAAGAGGTCTATTTCGTGCACAGATAGCCCACAATCGCCGACCTCCAAAGCTCGCAAATGACTCCGTCTCTGGGATGCGGCGTCGACTAGATAATCCAGGTCTGACTCGCCCAGTTTAATTCCATTCAATACAACCCAATCCACATTGGTCAATTCACGGCGACAAACTGGGAAAATAGCCTCAGGGATGCCACATCCAGGGTCCCGGCTACCTTTGTCCAGAGTTGGCGTTGGCGTTCGTGTTAGACAGTATGAAAAGTCGAGTCGACGAAGTGACTGGCTCTTCAATGCCAAGGCACGCACCTCCTGGGACAGAACCGTCAAATTGGTTTGCCCTGGGATGTTCACGAGGGATCCATTTCGGTCAAGATGAACATCAACATCCACCCCAAGTACATCACGGATACCCTGCAATGCATCGAGGTTTATCCCGCGGAACGAGATCGATCGAAATGATTCATTATACCGGAGCGCACGCATAACAGCGATCAGCTCATGCGCACTGTAGCGCGAAGTCTTGGAAGATGCTGGTCGAAGAAGGCGAAAGCATGGTGCATCTTCACATTCCAAGTCGATGGTATACCGAATGTTGGATGTATCAACGTCATAACTAGCCGAATATGCAACTAATGTGCGGTCGAAGCAGCCATAGTCTTCATCCAGAGTAGCGGGTGGGAAGTTTTCGTTCTGTAGTTCACGTGGTACCACGAAATCGTACGGCTGTTGTGTCCACAATGGGCGCAGGTACTCGGTATGTTGTCGGATCCAACAAGCAACTTCGACAGAATGAACTGAAGCAAGGAACACATTGAACGCTTTCTTCAAAGGGGTACTGCTTCATCATTAGCAACGTCAGTGGCAGATGCGGGCTTCCGTGATCCCTCACCGGAAAGTTAAATGCAGACTATCGTCCCCGTATTCCATTGACAGACCAGTCAGATTCATAAGGCCAAATGATGTAGTGGTCTCCAGATCAGACAACGACACAACAGACGATCGATTGGCTGCTTTCTGCATCGGAATCAAGTGGACCTTATGCAGTCCAATGGCGAGGTAGCAGCCAGTAGGCGACAGTTTGGTCAGGTCATCGGAAGACGAACGCGTAGGAGATTTGCTGGAGGCAATCTGTATGACTCGGAACATTCGAAATACAGCCGGGTCGTAATCTCGTTCGTGTTCCAACATCCTTGTTACATACTCAACCGAGCCCCGGTCGAAAGGGAGAGGGTCATTTGCCCGTGCCATCTGTGCCGCTTGGCGAATACCCACCATCCAAAGCTGTAGCTCCTGGAGGTCAGATGTCTGCATTTGAACCAGGGTAGCCTTGTGAGTGCGCTCATCAAGATAAGCCACCTCCACCGTGGGGGGAGACTCGGGCGTCCTCCAGCATGTATACCGCAATAATGCTGTTCAACGGAATTCCTGCAGAAGGCTCTGCAACCAAGAGCTGCATGTCCTGCAGTGAACTAATCGAGGCGACGGACTGGCGATGCGAGGCAGGAGCCCGTGCATACGAATGCGGGATTGAAGGGAAGGAATCGGCCGCCTTGGCCTGGTTTTTGAAACGAATGATGTGGCTGTCGGTGAGAACCAAGTACTGGCTCTTCTTTCGCCACATACCGCCTGTCGTTTGGAGTGCTCCATGGTGGAGGATGGCCGAGGACCAGATCCCATTTCGGGGACTAATCCCGGAATGCTCGTCGCCCAATGACCCGACGGAGGCACTGAGAGGGTCATCGTCTTCCAGAGAATGAAGGGATTTCAAAGATCCAAAGACCGAAGTGCGCTTCTTCTGCAATGACTTGCGACGTGGTTGAGGGGCTTCCAAGGTGGGCGTGGTTGCAGAGGACATAGCCGCAGACCAGGCGGCTGTCTCTCCCGCAGTGCCTGGTCGGCGGAGGACATTGGGTCCCGTTGACCATCGATTCGGACTTTGGGACCGGCCAAAAAAGCCCGAGTTGCGACGGGACTTCTTATTCTTCGAGAAGGTATCATCAGAGGGGGTTCGATCGTGAATCGGAGGTCGTAGAAGTGGGGCTGAGGATGTTGAGGCTGGGCTGAACATGCTGAAACTTTTCCTTCGTTCCTTCGAGCCAATTTTGAGCTCGGCCATGGTGATATTATGAAGGAGGTAGAGGCAGGATTTAACTAGTAGCGAGTGTAGGCGTCGAAAATATCGGCGGAAATAGTGGTGAGAAACGGGCTTGTCCCATTGACGACCCCAACGTCGTTCTCACTGAACAACCACAGTTAGCAAAGGGGACTGGAAGACATGTCGGTGGATGTCAGGCAGAAGAGCTGGAGCTGGCAAGTTCCGAAAGGCTTGGGGATGGGGCATGGGGAGAACTGGCGAAAGCGGGGGTACCGGGGGTAGGAACAAGGACAAGGAACGTACAGCTTCAAGTCGCCATGGAAGCAATTGACGGGTAAAGATGCTAGGGATAGCAAACAGACTCCACCGTCAGAAAAAAAGCGGACCTGGTGGTTATATGGAAGAAAAGTGAATTGCTCCAGACGCGTGTGATAGCTGTCAACAATGTGGCGAAGAAAGAGAGGTTGCACCGAAGGTTATAGGTTCGCCGGAAGGGGAGAAGTTCAAGAGCTTGGCTCCGAAAACACAGACTCAAAACGGCGAGGAAGCCTGGGGAAAACAATGAAAGAAGGCGGTGATCAATGGAGTCGATTCGTCGCAGAAGATCTCTCTGGCTTCCGAGAGCTGATCTGACCCAGAATGAGGTCAGGATTGCCGATCAACTTGGGAGTGTGAAAGACGGACAAAGTTCTACTGGTGGCGGGGGGTTTGGAGAGGGAGAGGCAGAGGCAGAGATCTCAGGGCAAGGGTCAAACTCTGCAGTAGAGTTTCCCCCGTGAGCAGAGAGAACAGGGAACTAACCTGGAGAAATTGGACGAGTGCAGCGATGAGATCTAACGGTCCCCTCGGGAGGAGAGGAGAGGGAAAAAAGGAGGTGAAGTGAGGAATGGACGGATGCAGTAAAACGGTCGCCCCTCCCAGTTGCTTCGCCGCTGAACATCGCCATGTTTCAGGTCTCGTTTTTTTCTCTTATTTTTTACTATGGAGTAGTAGACACTGGTTGCCTATTGTTATCGGCTTAACTTTTTCTTCTTTTCTTTTCTTTTCTTTTTCCTCTTATCTCTGATATGGTGTCTTGAGTATAACTATTACCCGCTAACTATCCTTTGATATTCCAGCCTCTGTGTACATTTCAAATCTACTCGTATTGGATTGCGCTTATACATGACTCGGCCAAATGCACCGTCTTACCTGACCCGATGAGACATGCGTTCGCGACATGTCGAATTGCATCCGCATTCGAGAGATGGGGGCTTCTTGGCCACGTAAGAGGCGTACTCCACCCAGGGCGTGCATCCGCTAAGAGTACATAGTGCAGCCCACTACGGACTGTTATAGCAGGGATTGTACAAGACATATGAGGATGTATTGGCCCGGCTAATCTGCTCCGCAGGAACCACCCGTTCCCGCACGGCGCTTGCGTGATTCGCTCTCGTGGCACGGTGGTGTGTGTGTGGACAAATTTGTGATGCGATCCATGAATGACTATTGATATGGGTACGAGTAGTCCGTATGGGGCGATGGAACTATCAAAGTGCGATCCTCCTGGATCCACATCGAAAATGGGTGATCGACACCTCGCGAGCTCCGCCGTCTTTGAGCATGGGGATGTGCCCCCAGGGGGAATGGAGTGGATGGGGTAAAACTGACGTCTCTGGGGTCCACGAAGATGGAGATCGTAATATAGATCGACAGCGCCACAAGGGGGTAAGCTTCGAGATAATCTCCAGGACTCAGATCAATTCCGTTCGCGTGGCATCAATGAAAACTGCGTCATATCTCCTGCCCAAAAAAAGTCCTGCTCAAAGAACAAAGAGAATTCCCGGAGCCTTCGGGAAGCATGTTTACTTATTCGGTCAGGTAGTTCTCGCAGATACGAGGCACATCCGTCGATCCCATGCACATACACGCTGTCCCCGACAATCGGTGTAGTCTATGTAATCGTATGGCATACTGTACCCATATGCTCCGCATGACTCGAGCAATTTCATTTTACTAGTACGGTCGGGAACCCTGTTCGCGCTCGGCCTGGAGACGCTCGGCTCTTTTGATACGCCGCATCAGTTCAATGTACTCTGCGACCCGTCTTTCGGCCCAGATGCAGCCACCGAGCGTCATGGCTGCGATCTGCAGGAACACCTTGAATTGCGGTGTCAAGCCACGATAAACACGAGAACCTGGCGAGATCCATTCCGAGAACCCCTCCAGTGGACGGTAGAAGAGACGAGAACGAAGATAGTCGCGCGAGAACATCGAGGGCCGAGATCGAGCTTGCGATTGTGTCGTGGGCGGCTTTGGAGGAGAGAAGATGAAAGGATGTGGTAGGTTCATGATCATATGCGCAAATATGGAGACCGAGCCGAACTGCATCAGATGTTAATTTTCATCGAACGGCGGTCTACCTGCACTGGCTCTCAAGGATAACATACCCGGAACACACCGGTCATGAAGCCCATCATGGCCTGAGTGGTGACCTCAGCCGGGGGCTCGATGTCCTTCCGTTGGTTGGATGGCGGTGGCATAATGGCTGGAATTGAGTTTATATGACCGCCGTAAGATGCAAGGAGTGTCGGGCAGCCTAAGGCTGGAGGATATGATGGTGGTGGTGGTGGTTGGTTATTGAGCTCGGGGCGCGGGGGAAGCTGATGAGACGGCGAAGAAGAGGCAAAGGATAGGGATTAAGCAGCCGCGAGAAACTCAGTTATATTGAATTGATCAGATATGGATCATGCAGAAAAATCTGGACCAGCCAGTGTTTTTAAAAGGTGGAAATGAACTGAACTGAACGGTCTTTGCTTCAGACACCGAATGATGGAGAAGGTGCGGATCAACCCTTTTTGGAAATTTCCCCCGTCGGAGAGCGGGCGGCGAGTCACATAGAAAGAAACTATGATTAGCAACAATTGGAATTATATGACTTGACTCAACTCTCTCACCGCCGCATAACCACCTCCAATTGACCACCATGGCCCTCCAAGCACGTACCGCCGTCGTCTCGCGTGTCACTAACGAGACCAAAATCCAAGTGTCGCTCTCCCTGGACGGTGGCGTCCTCCCGCCTTACGAGCCCTCCTCCCACTTCCCCCGCCAACAGATCCCGAGGAAGCAGAGGCCGCGAAGAAGGGCATTGTCCCTCCTAAGGATGCCGGTCATGCCACACAATTCACCCCGACCCAGCAGATCACCGTGAGCACTGGAATTGGCTTCCTGGACCACATGCTGCATGCGTTGGCGAAGCACTCCGGAATGAGTCTGGCGGTTCGCGCAAAGGGCGACCTGTACAGTAAGTTCCGCCAGTCTTGACGACAGTAGTCAGCGTCAGCGTCAATCTTTTTCTTGTTCTTCTTCTTTTGCAGCAAAGACAAGCAGTCCGCTAATCGTCGCTATCTCTTTCCTTAGTTGACGACCACCACACCACCGAGGACACCTTCCTAGCCGTTGGAACTGCTTTCACAAAAGCCCTTGGCGCCCGTCAATCACTGGCGCGTTTTGGCCGCGGTGACGCCCCGCTGGACGAGGCTCTCTCATGGGCCGTGATCGACCTGTCAAGTCGCCCCTGGGCTGTGATCAACCTTGGCTTCCGCCGCGAGAAGATTGGCGACCTGAGCACTGAGATGATCACCCACGGTCTGCAGAGTTTCGCTCAGGCTGCCGACGTAACGCTTCACGTTGGCTGCACATACGGTGACAACGACCACCACCGCGCGGAGAGTGCCTTCAAGGCTCTCGCTGTTGCTATCCGCACTGCTGTTACCCGGAAATCGGCCGGTGAGGTCGGCGCTGGCGATATCGTTAGCACTAAGGGTGTTCTGTGAATATTGACAAAAAGTTAAATCTTTTGTATATGAAACGAGACTACGGCAATGAGATGAGATACCAAAATTTCTACGTTAATATTATTTACGAATAGACTACTAGTCCAAGGACTTTGCAAGATTGGGCGGGAAATTGCATACCATCGATATCTTTGCTTTGTGGTGGTAACATAAAAAGACATAATTTCATAACCAGGATAAACTCATAACACCAATCTACGAACCACAACCACAAACCGCGCCGGAATGCCACGAAGAACCAGCTTCGGGTGCAAGCAAACCAAAACTCCTGAAACACCAACACATGAACACCGATTCAATGCCCGCTGAGACAATATTCAAGCATCTTTTCACACACCGAGAGCCTTCACAGCTCGCTCCCAGTACTGCTTGCGCTCATCAGTAACCGAAGTGCCAACACAGCTGCTGATATACTGTTGCCAGCCTGTCTCAGAGCCATCCTGCAAAGCGGAGCGCACATCCTTAGAGCACTGAGTGGTAAGGAACCAGGCGCCAGATCCGAAATCGTAGGTTTCGTTATCACGCAGCAAGTCGAGTAGATCAGCGGGGCTATTGGCGACAGGGGCAATCTTGTCTTTCAGGGCAGGAATGCTATTGGCGTATTTCTTGTTGAAGGCTGGGGATTGCATGTTGCGAGCTAATGGCAGTTCTAGTTAGACATGTCCTGATCTTAGGAAAGGATAATGCATATACTTACTGCCTTGACCTGGGGTGCCGGGGAAATGGTTCTTATTGTACTTGAAGTCGTCGCTCTCAAAAGCCATCAGACTCAGGATCGCGGCTTGCTCGGCCTTGTTAGTGACCTTGTAGTCACTGAAGGACTGAGAGACGAAGGTGGCGGCTGTCTTCGCCGTGGCGCATTCTCCTTTAGCAGGGGCATTATCGCAGGTATTTGACGTTGGGGCGATTTGAAGCAGTTGAGCCTCAGTTAGGGCTGTGTCCTTTGTTGCCAAGGAGAATGGGATGGGAACTGCCGTGGACAAGACAGCGAGAGAGAGGAAGAGCGAAGTGGTCAGGATGGAGTGCATATTGGCGGTTTCGTAAAATACTAGGCGTAGAAGTATCTTGTGAGGTGAAGTGTAGAGTTGTAGATCTGGCGCTAAATGGGGATATGGTTGACCAGCAACTGTATCAGACGAGTAGGTAGGCGATGGATTGAGGCGTTGATTGATAGAGATGAGAAAGAGGGAGAAACATCAGCCTTTTATTCCACACCCGCTTGGACTAACATTTCTGAATTGCATTGCTTGCGGGGGATGGGAGGTGGCGGGTTTAGAAACAAGGGCAATTCATTTCAGGCAGATGGTGGAGGCATTCATACTGGTGGAGGTTGGTTGGGGAATGCGGATCGCGTAGTATGTAGGCCACCAAGTAAAACAATCCATGACATAATTCGCCCGAGCTCATTGTCCTTCAAACATATCGTATTTTAGTCGAACCAGTAAAAATCCTCAGACTCAAGAGACAAAGCGATTGTTCCTGCGTTGAACAATGCAAGGCGTGCCGAGGCTTTTCATTGGGCGGGTGAGATAGGGTTTCCCCTCACTGAAACGTTGGCGCGGTGGAAGGTTTGGCGCCCAAGTCCCTTAGGGCACCCCTTGAATGCTTGAATGTGAGCCCTGCTGACCACGTCTTAAATGGCCTATGCAACTGAATCTGACGAACGGTTGCTTTTACTCATCTCCGGGAATTTGCGACAGTTTCAAAGATAACTTAAACATACTAGCTCTACAGTACAAGCCTTCCAAGGTCAGCCAACATGTCATCTTCCACCGAAACCCATATTATGATATCGGAGCTGAAGAAAAGCCATGCGCGGGTTCCCTGGTGCGACGAATACGAAAAAATGATAAGTGGAATGAGGTCTGTCGTTTCTGTGCCACAATCTTCACTGCTATGTTAAAGCGTAGCTTCTCTAGCTTTACGACCTCGAGATCTCGCGAACTCCAAGACCATAAGCTCCGAACACTTAGATCGCTGAACGATTTCAATGATACAAGTATTCCAGAAGGAAGTACGCTTGTATCGTTGAAGACCCGGCGTATGACAGTCGCTAAAGACCTCCTGGGTAAAATGGGAGAGAGAGTAAATATCGAACCGCCCTTTTTCGTTGGATGGGGCTGTAACGTCTTTATTGGGGATGATGTATACATCAACCGCGAGTTAGTTGACGTCTCTTTTTTGGTTGCTCGCTCCTACATCCCATGCACTACATACTTACTACAGAGACCTCTGGGCTCACAGTGCATCCCTATTTGATAATGCGTTTATTCGAATCGATGATCGCGTTTTAATCGGTCCTGGCGTGTGTATCTGCACGGGTACACATCAACTCGAGGCAAAAGACCGAAGACAAAACAATGGGACCTCTTTTGCTCGCCCTATAATTATCGAAGCAGATTGTTGGATTGGTGCCCGGGCTACGATTCTGGACGGTGTTCGTATTGGGTCAGGCACTACAATTGCTGCGGGGGCTGTGGTGACACGCGATATTGAGCCACGATGTCTTGCCGGCGGTGTACCGGCTACGATAATCCGTAGATTTGAAGATGATCAAAATGTAGAAGGATCAATTGTTTGAAGGGCAGAATTCTACTAGTAAATTTTCATATCATCCTCAATCACCTTTCTTGGTATATGTGATAAGATTAGTATATACAACTACTAGTCGTATTATAGTAATCCCTGATAGTATTCTTCAAGGAGAGGACACCGTAGAACAGCCTGGAATACGACTTTGTGTAAAATATATTGTTTTTGCCGGGGAAATATCATCCACCCGACGGCCGTCACCTTTAAGTATACGAAGGGGCCGAAGATCCATCCCACTAGTTGGCCGTTTCCTCCTCCATTTCTTCAACACGATACTCATAGAATGAGTAGTTGGCCAGGGTTGGGTACTTAAACATCGTATCAATCCTTTTCAGGGTTTTTTCATTGGTCTTACTTAGTAAAGCAAGACGAGGATGATTTGATTAGGTATGTTTTCGGATTTAGGACCTCTTCTTCTTCTTCTGATTCTGCAGATTGCAGCCTATACACTCCTTCATGTATTCGATCTTTTACTATGACTTCTGATCTCCAGAAATCTATGACTACTTGTCATATTTCTGCAATATCATGGAAGAAAACATCTCGTTGCTCATGTATCGTTGGACAATTCGTTGTATCGAAGACTAGGTTTCGAGCAAAATATACTCAATATTAAGCCTAGCATCCAAGTATTATAACACCCCTTACAAATGCACTAATGAGTGGTAAGCTTTGTCTAAACCCAAAACCAATACTGGAATGCGCGGAATCGGAATGCCAAGACATTCTAAATAGGTCATCTCAGCCTCTCTCGACAAAGCTCCCGAGCCGCTTATCCCAAATTTCCACCCATCTATCGCTTTCAATTGGTGAATTGAGCGATTGAGTCGGTGCAATTTGTTTAAAAGCTTGCTGCAATCGTACAATTCATGGCAATTGACCACTTGGGCTCATGGTATGATGTGTATGGCGTGACACATCACATCATCCCATTATATTCGCACCACGATATAATGTATAATCCCCAGAAAGCAAAAGGGCCAATTGAAGAGTAAATAGTACATTCTAAAGCACCCGAAGCCAAATAATCAAACAATGCTCAGAAATATGCTAGTTTAAGCCCTCCGTCATGATGCATTAAGGTTGGTGGGGCCGGGTTTAGTGCAACCCCCCGCATTTTCGGGGGTATGAGGTCACGAGTCACGCGAGATGCGGCACTCCCTTTGGTTGCTCAGCTTCGGCCGGCTTGTCTTCCCTTTCCATTTCCCTTTCTCATCCATCTCAAAACATCATCTCAAATACCCGCATCAGTTTGTCCATCCCCTCCCTCTTCCATCGAGATTCGTTTCCATTCCATACTGACGAGAACAGTGACTCGCTCTCACAAATTCAATGACCGTGAATACCAGGCTCCTGAGAGTGGTGTGATCGCCCCTCAGGAGAACCTCCCTCGTTTCTTCGCCAAGTCCGGTCCAACCGATGCTGACCCTAAGAAGACAAAGAAAGATGGTGGTGGTAAGGGTAACTGGTAAGTCTACAGAACTGCATCCAATGCATCCTCCTCGTCATCATCTTCGTCCTACCTCGCCTGAACTTGAAACATGTACTAATATGACCCCACCTCATCCAGGGGTCGTGATGGCGAAGAAGTCCATGACTATGGTTACACCTTCAACAATGCCCGCCGCCGTTCGAACAGCAGCACACAGGGCCTCGCCGACTTCAGAACGAAGTTCGAGACCATCGACCCGGAGCCCGTTTTCGAAGAACAGGTCCACGGCGGCGAAGTGGTGAATGAGAATGGAGAAACAGTCACCAAGGTCGATAGTGCCAGCAGCAGCAGTCCTAGTGAGACTGAGCAGAATGGGGCTAAGGTGTAAGCGGGTCGTCGTCGCCGTCGAGTTGTTGACGACCTCGTTTGTTTCTATTATTGTGTCAACATCTACATAACCTATTGTAACGACTGTCAACGGAGTATCTAAGTTTTGGAATTTATCAACTTTTGTCTTTCTTCCATATACCATGTAGACAAGGACAATTGAAGTAGCCTTCCAACGAGCAATTAGACCGATAATATGTCAAAGCATTGGTTGATAACTACAAGCCATGCTCTTATGACGTTGCACTCGCTCGTTTGTTGAGTCTGTGCCACGCGTCGAGCAGCGAATGTATGTGCTCATTAAAGGCGGGGTATCCATTGATGACAGGCCCCTAATAAGATCAACAAAGGAAAATTGTCGCAAGGAAAAAATATCATTACGCGAAAGAACGCGAAAGTGAGCGAGAGAAAATAGGAGACTCAGATATTCCGTAAATGCTACAAATACAAATCATTCCAGCCCGCAGACCATTGTGAAACCTCTAGCACCGCCACAAACCAAGACAAAAAGAAACCACACTAGCTTAAACGAACGTCAATCGCGCCTTGGGATCCTGAGAGGGGGAAGCGGCATTCCCTGCAGGAGTATCTGTTTGGGCAGATGTCTGGGTTCCAATTGATTCCAGGAGATTTTGGAACCAGAAGTCGAGCTTGCCAGTTTCGATATATTCACGTAGGAGATCGTCTTCCCGCTGGAGGTCGGTAGCAACACGGGCCCTTTGTTCCGGGCGGAAGCGTGAGACGAGAATGTCTGACTCGGAGTCGGCCATCAATGCCTCGGCTGGGGATACGGGTTGGAAGAGAGATTGGAGACTAGACCCAGAGTGTTCTGTAAAAAATGTTAGAATGGAATGTGTTGAGGAATCATGATTCATCATAAACTCACCTGTCAAACAGGACGACAAGGTCTGGTAGAGGGAGGTGTTATGAGTGGCACTGGCCGAGTCTCCGTTGGTTCCCTCGGCGGCCTTTCCAAGAGCATTCCAGTCATCCTTGATCATGCATCGTCGCCAAATCAGCTTTCGCAAGGCAGATACATATGAAGGGTCTCGCTGCGCATAGCGGCTATGATCAAGAACCCGGAGGGCTTGGTAGAATTCCCGGCCGCAAAGATCACTGTCAACGTCTTCCGGTACCTCAACATAACCGATGAGGGTGAGGACATCAAGAAGTCCGTCGGTTCCGATGATACTTCGGTTGACGAGAGTAGAAAGAGCGTCGCCTAAGATTTCGTGAAGGGATGGACGATCTTGCGCCAGATAGCTTCCGAAATAATCCAAGGCAAGCTCTTGCTCAGCTTTGTGGTCGATTGCGCCATCGGTGAATGGTCGGATGTAGTAGTAGAGCTTATCTTGGGTCTCGTCAATGGCGATAGAGTCGTCGAGGCGCTTGATATCCTCCTGGAAGGCCGAACCGTTACTAAGAGAAGGATTTTTTTTCGCTTGAAGCCAACTTGCTGAGCTTCGCCAGCGAAATCTCGACATGGTGGTTCCAAAGTTGTTTTTCACTGCCGATAGCCAGGTTTTCCAAGCATGAAGCAGCGGATTCATAGTCATCTTCGCCGGCCACATCGTTCATCCAGCTCAACTTAGCATATGCAGGTGTTTTCCGAAGGAAGCCGGTTACACATCGCTGATACTTCCTCATTGAGAGCAACGCACCAGGATTTCCCATAGAAATCTGTCGTGTGAAGTATGCGTCTGACCAAGGCTCGCCAAACTTGTCGAAATAATGCGCAACCCGGCGCTCGACATCTGCAACACTGTTTCCGATAGGAGCCACACCAAAGACAGATGTTTCCGTGCCTTCTAGTGCCAGACCTTTCTCTGCGCGGTCCTTAACTTGGTCGGAAAGTTCAAGGATCAGTTCGACCAGAGCTTCCATATCACGGAACCGCTCCGCTAGAACGATTGCGTCTTGAAGATGGCCAATTCCTGCCAATTTGAAGAGCGACCACTTGCGTTCCTTAACAAAGGATTGCTCAATCGAAACACCCTCATCGATGAGCTTGGGGTCCTCCTGTGCTGCAAGCCAGCGGGTTCGCTCGCGGTGCATCTGACCGACAGCTCGAAGGTGACGAGCACTGTTTTCGGCGAGTCTCTTCGCAATTTGTCCGTCCGGTGCATCTGCGCTAGATTTCTTTTGTTGCACCCAGGAGAGAACACTGTCGATTTCAATTTCCAGAAGATCTCCGGCTTCCGTATATCCCATTCGTCGGGAGGTCCAGAACTCGGGTAGCGTGTCGTATCCATCGGCAAGAACGCCATCCTCCACAAAGTCGTCGCCCAGACCATACATTGAAGCATGATCATCACGATACCGGAAGGCTGTTTCTGTAACTGCAAGGAACAGCTCGCTAGCCTCCAGGATCTGCTCGGAGTTCTTGCGCGTCTGCTTGGAGCTGCCCTTACGAGACTTGACAGAGTGTTTGATCCATGGAATGATATGCTCCATCTGATATGTATCCTTCAAGAACCACTGGCGGACAGGATCGGTGTCGCCGCTAGGGCTGGTCTTGAACTTGTCATTCATCGAATCGATTACCTGGCCAAGGAAGAGACCCTCGTTCTTGTTGCGGAGCGTCTCTTCCAATTTCCACATAGCCCGCTGGGCAGCAAGCTTCTCTGCGCCCCAAAGGAGCTCCCATCTAGCCGTCCGGCCCAAGGGATTGCCCTTCTTCGAAAGTAAAGACGCAAGGTCGTTGAGAGCTTTGGCCCGAAGCCGCAGATTTTGATCAATGGAAATCGTAGTGCTTGGGATAAATCGGGTGTCGGATTGAAGGAGCTCCCTACAGATTTCCAAGGAGGCTTGTTCAACCTCCTCGGGAGGGAAGTCGAGACCGCCATCGCCAACCAGATTAAGAGGATTCTTTGCCATAGTACCGAAGAAAATGGCCTGCTCGAGTTTGTGTTTAGCCGTGACTGGGCCTTCCTCCACGTCGTGCTCTGTAGAAAATTGAGGTGTCACATCGATTCGAACAACACCAAAGTTCCGAATCATGATCACACATGAAGAGCCCTCTTCATCGTCAGTGCGTTCCTCGGGACCATATCCCAATACTTCGAACTCTTCGCCAGATCGAAGATTGATTGTATCCTGGAAAGGAAGGGCCAACTTTTGGGCGTCGTGTAGAAGTTGGGAGGTTGGAGACTCATCAATAGCTGTAAGGGAGAGAATAACGAGAGATTGCCCAAGTATGATGAAAGCAGTATCCTCGGAAGTTGTGATCAGAATCTTGGGTTTCAATTCCTGACCCATGGCCGGGATACTGTGAAGGCCCACAGCGAACGAAGACTGGACGCGCGATTGGTTTCCAGATAATTGGAGCTGGACGACAAACATTGTTTTGGCCTCCAAGGATTGAGGGGTGCTGACGACAACGAAAAGACCCCACGATTCATCAGACTCCTGTTCGTCCGAAGACTGGGCAGAAAAGGCAAAATCCATGACCTTGAGATCGACTTCGGTCACACTCTTCATATCTGAAGGAAGTGCCGCCGCGATCTCCTCCTTGACATCGTACTTCTTTTTCAGGGCACTTCCGTGATGCCAGTGGGTACTCCAGATCTCTACCAGACCAGTCGAGGTAGCCACGAGCACATCCCGCTGACCCCGCTGGCGGGAGGGACCTGGGTGAACAGCAGTGACCTCTTTCCTCCAGTATCCACCTCCCAAAACATTCTTCAATCCGCCGAAGAGTCCACCCCCGCTACCACCAGTGCTCCTGAGGAAGTTGACCAATACAGAGGGCTTGCCCTGAGGGTCTCTCAGAGTGACATGTGCTACTCGCCCAGAGGAAAATGTAACAATAAGACCCGAGGGCTCACAATTCATAACTTCCACTGCAACTTCTCCCGAGAGTAGTCCGGGGGTAGACCCTTGAATTCCATTCTGTTTTTGTCGAGACAATGCCAAAGATGCCGCGCTCGATACAGTCTCCCAGTATATGATTTTGCCTGTCGAAGGAATGATGACTAGAAGACCAGGGTGTTCTCCGGTGGCTGTAGATACTAGGGCACCGAGGGGTACTGGTCCGTATGGGTCTCTGCATGATTTGGGGATCGACACGGTAAAGGTTTCTGAGGGCGAAGGTGAAGAAGTGGCGACCGAGTAGGGCCATACGATCGCATGCGAGTGCGTCAAGGCTAAGGCATGGTCGTGACCGGGCGCGAAAAAGCACTTCAACGGATCTGTGTTTCCACGATGTTAGGACCGGCGTCCCAAATTGAGATATCGTGTAGAGCTTCTTACCTGACTGTGAGCCTCGGATCTGATCCGGCAGAGCTGGAAGTTGGTTGACAATATAGTAATCTGTTTTTGACTATTTTCAGCGGTATCAGCGGCCATGCCTTGCACTCAAATAAAGTGATATCTCCAGCGGGCAATCATTCAAAGCAGCATTTGACTTACCAGGGCTACTGCTCCCTCCGAATCACCTTTAGAAGCTTCACTCGGTTTTGCGCCACGAATTGGTAGCGACTCAAGGCCAGTGGGGTCCGTAGCTAGGTCGTGATCGTTGGACAGGGCCGATGTCGCGGACTGTGCTTCTGCGGCATTGTCTCTCAGCAAGCTCGCAGCGGTGGTATCTCCGGATTGGCGTAGAACAGAACGTTGTCTCTTGGCTTTCGGGGGGACCGACCGAGTCGTCGGAGCTGGTTCTCTGGCGGCGTCGAGACGTGCGAGCGGCTCGAGGTGCGAACATTTTTTTTCTATTTCGAAACTGGTCTCAGCCTTCACATTACACCGGCCGAAGCCAGGAGATAGAGCGAAAGAATGGCCTGGGGAGAATGCGCCTAGATATGGCGAAGAAGGGCGCAATCAGATAGCAATGGAAGGATGGGCTCAGAGCTCTGGCAATGAGAGTGTTTACACCAAAGAAGTTGGCGTTCTGCCCAGGGCGGTGAGTGTGGTGGAATGCATTCACTTCCAATACTAACTAGAGTAGTAACTACTAACTAGCTACTGGAGTTGAATAATATATTGTTTTAACAGTATTTAATTACTTACTATGTCATTTTCTTACTGGATCAATCGATTGATGCTAAACTGAATCTTACAAATTAAACCTTGGAATTGACCCCTTTGAAGCCTGAGGACTTACAGCTATTGAAATGGCGGCAATATATACCACAAACAAATAAAAGAAAAACTAGTAAGAGAATCACAACTGGAACTAACTACTCGTAGTAGCTCAATTCTGGTCTCCACTAAAAGCATAGCAAATAGCTATGCAGCGGCATCCGAAAACACGGAGAATCGTTCCCGTGCTCAACACCAGATCAGATAGTAATTCGTGGCTCAGGACTGGACAAGTGCCGTGTTCCGGGCCCGATTCCCCCGATTCCCCCGAAATGCGGAAGAAAGGCTCACGTGAATCCCCAGCCCCACGCCCACGTTGGGGATTCCAAAGGAGTTGGTCAACTTTATGTCTGGTCTTTCGTTCTCATCTTGATGTCTGCTCTTTCTCACGGGTATATGCAGCTATCACCATGATCATATGTTGTTTTGGGTCTTGATCAAGGCCAAAGTCGCCCAGCACGCAGTCTTACAATGCGCTCGGTTATGATTTCAAGGCGTCACCTGCGGGGATTAACTTCCCCAGCCATGACGGGGGCTCTGAGGATGATGGCCCGGGCCCCTTCATCCAGGAGGGAGCTGCACACAGCTCTATTTTTCCCAGGTAGGTACTCTCTGATGTGTTTCCCCTGTCGCTGGACGCTGGACGGCAGCTAAATGACTTAACTATAGGCCATGGAGTACAGCGGGTGGGCATGGCCAATACCTGGATGGATCGGTTCCCTCGAACCACAACGCGCCTCCTGGATGAGATGGACTCCATCCTAGGATTCAATTTATCCCGCATCATCTCTGATGGTCCTAATTCAAAATTAAACAAGACCGAAAACGCGCAGCCGGCTATCATGGCCATCTCCGTTCTCATCCTCCGCATTCTAGAGAATGAGTACGGACTAAATACTACATCACGGGTCGACGTGACCTTGGGCCACAGCCTCGGAGAATTCACAGCATTAGTTGCTGGAGGCTATCTCCAATTTTCCGACGCGCTCAAGCTGGTACGACACCGGGCTGAAGTCATGGCCCGATGTACCCGAGAAGTGGTCGAGCACTCCGGCGAAACATACGGGATGGTAGCATTAATCTGCGAACCCGAACACCTCGAAAGCCTTCTCAGAACCGTGCATGAGTTCCTCGGACTAGGAACTGACGACACTGTTCAAACCCCGTCAATCCAGCAAGTTATGGTGGCGAACATCAATTCCTCCAACCAGATCGTTCTCAGCGGCAGTATCGAAAGAATCAGAACTCTCCTGGTCCAGCTGCGCCAGTTTGGCGGACACGATCCCCGTGCCGTGAGACTCAAAAGCGAAAGCCCTTTCCACAGTCCCGTGATGTTTCCCGCTACCCAATATATGCGAACCGCACTCGAACACACCGACATTAGCTTCCCTGGCAGAATACCTTGTATCTCCAATGTCTCATCTCTACCTTTCAAATCAAAGGAAGATCTCAAAAATCTACTGTCTCGACAATGCACGGATACTGTCCGGTGGTGGGACAGCATACGCTATCTTCACCAAGAACAAGGTGTCAGACGTTGGATCGGCATCGGGCCTGGCAAAGTAGGCCGAAATCTTGTTGGAAAAGAAGTTGGCCGGGTAAATACCAAAGGAGGTGGCGTATGGGCCGTCTGCAACCCGAGAGAAAATGGAGGAAATGATTGTTGCCCTGGAACAGACCGAAGCCGAAGTCAGGAACCATTGAAAACGTGCCTGAAGACACAGTGAAAAACATGTCTGTAATTGTATTCAAAATTTACGTCCATCTTATGACAAGCAATGAATTTATTTGAAGTACAAAATGGGGAGTTTTCATTAAATCATAATCTATGCAGTAGCACCGGGCACCCACGTTTCGCCAATACGCTGAACTTCGGCGATAAACTTGGGGTTGGAGATCGGCAAGGAATTAGATGCTGCACTAGCTGCTGATCCCGGAGCAGGAGCGTGATCATCTGGGGAATAGAAAGGATTTTGAAGGAGCTGAATGTATGCGCTCTGAAGAGATCGAAATGCCTAATTCATGAGGGTATGTAGGTTAGCCAAGCAAGCACTTATTTTCCTAGGAAAGACGGTCCCTCGACTTACGGGCTTGACATCTGCGTCCCTCAAACCGCTAACTGCAGAGCCTATTGGCTTCCCTGCACCAGCAGTCTCTTGGCCAAATAGATCCACGATGACCAGAAGCTTCACGCCCGTTGTTGTCAGCCAGCCGTAAGCTGCTAGCCTCTCGTCAATTGCTTGTAGTAGACCGAGATCTTGGTCGATAGATGTGTGCTTGCGTCGGATTTCGAAAATGTCGAGGCATGAGTTGAGGAGGAAGGAGAATTCAATTGTGGAATCTGTATATGGAGGGAAGAGGGAGATGTGGAGAGGATTGTCCTGGATTGAAGTTAGCAAAAGTCAAGTTGCGCAGGGTCAGTTTACTTCGTACTGATTTGCCAATGATACCTATACAGGCAATTTTTGGTCCTGCCATTTTGCAGAATGTCCAATCTCCCAAGGTGATTGTTTATATTGAGTTCAGAATTGGAGGGGCAGCTGTTTTGGACACTGTTCCCCTGTCCGATTTGCGTCAGGCGACTGGAGAAGCGTGGCGAGTGATAAGGTGACCGATATCAGTGCTGATATATGGCGTGATAAATGAAAGCAGGCTATGCTTCTATTCGATGGGGTGCGAGGAAATGTAGTGAAATGGCAGATTGAATTGGATGCAGCTCCAAAGCACCCGCATATCGGGCCAAGATAGCTGGGGCGATAGCGGAAGGGAAGTGACCACGCACTGACCACAATTTTGTAGCCTCAGGCCATAATATGGGGAACCAATCAGGCGAAGCCCGATTCTCTTTCCAAGCCATTCACCGCTTTTACCATACACAACGCAGGAACGGAAAATTACCTGCTCTCCGCCAATAATCGACTCGAGAATCCCTTACCTGAACCTGCACAAACCAGTCTGTTACCACGTCATTCTTACCGTTTTCCTCCGGCAAAAGTCCTCCTTACCCAGAGAGCGCCCGCCACCTTCAAGCTGCCCGGAACAGACTCGCCATCTCACTGAGACTACAATCATGATGCCTCTCGTGCGACCGGCCCTCTCCGGCTCTTTGAGCGGTACATCCCCTCTACTCGCAATGCCTAGATCCCTTCTAATCCGTCCAACAGCGCGCGCCCGCCTGGCGACATGCCCTCCTCGCGCCTCGCCCATTGCGGCCCTTTCGACCTCATCTGTGAAATCCGCCACTGCCATTGAGCAGCAATCGACATCAGGCAAGGGCCTGACTGCCTCTGGCAAGGTCCGCCAGGAGGTTCCTCTCCTCACCCAGGAGCCCAAGAAGGGTGCTATGCAATATGTCTTGTACGCTGCCTCGGCAACCTCCACACACAACCGTCTCGCCACGACGTATCTTGCCCGCGGTGCTCTGGCTAACAATTAATCGCTTCTAGGACTACCCTCGATCAAGTTACCAACTGGGCCCGTCAATCCTCCCTGTGGCCCATGACCTTCGGTCTCGCCTGCTGCGCCGTCGAGATGATGCACCTTTCCACCCCCGCTACGATCAAGATCGCTTGGGTATCATTTTCCGTGCCTCCCCCCGTCAATCCGATGTCATGATTGTCGCCGGTACCTTGACAAACAAGATGGCCCCTGCCCTGCGTCAAGTCTACGATCAGATGCCCGACCCCCGATGGGTCGTCTCTATGGGCAGCTGTGCCAACGGTGGTGGTTACTACCACTACAGTTACTCCGTTGTTCGCGGTTGCGATCGTATTGTGCCTGTTGATGTTTACGTTCCTGGATGTCAGTTTTATCCCAACTCTCTGTTTCCTTTCTTCCCGTGAATCTCCGTTGCTAACTATCATATCCAGGCCCCCCCTACCTCCGAGGCTCTGATGTACGGTATCTTCCAGCTGCAGAAGAAGATGCGCCACACTCGCATCACCCGCATGTGGTACCGCCGTTAAGCCTTTTGGCAAATTCCCTTTTCCGTTACCCTTTCATTTATTCGTTCCGTTAGACGCGGTGGATTCAAAACGCATACCAAGCCATCGTGGAGTCTCTTGTGTCTTATTACTGTATATCTTAGGCCTCTGGTTGTGACTCCAATTTCCTTGATTAGTCCAATGAAATTTCTTTAAAATTTCCACCTTCTTGACTCTGCGTTGATAAAAAGCATTAAAGCAAACTAGTAGTCCTTGATCTCGACTGCATACAAACAACTATATTTTCGAGTGATTGGTATTAAGAAAAGAATAACTCGGAAGTTAAATTTCCCAGTAGGCCATCTAACACCTAATCTTATAGCTTATTTTATTTCTAAATCGCCTACAATAGCCCTTTAGGCCGAAGGTCCTCGCGGAAGCAACGCCTACCGCTATTCAAAAACAGAACCAACCTTTGCGCACCGACGGGTCTATCCATTGACCATAACACCGCCATTGGGATGCAGACACTGACCAGAAATATAACTACTGTCCTGACTCGCAAGGAAGACAAAGCAAGTTGCAACCTCACTCGGCTGTCCCGGGCGACCAATTGGCACTGCATGGAACTGTTCCATCGCTTCAGTCATCATTGTTGCTGGGATCAAAGGAGTCCAGACTATAGCATGTTGTTAGCTCCCCAACTTTGCTGGTGGTTTTATACAAGGGCAGACACATACTAGGACCCGGACAGACGCAATTGACTCGAATTCCCTTCTTGGCCTGTTGATTTGAGAGCGCACGTGTGAATGCCACAATAGCTCCCTTGGTAGACGTGTAGTCAAGCAGGTCCCCTCGGCCGATGTAAGGATTCACCGAGGCACAATTGATAATAGTTGAACCTTTCTTCATGTGCCGGAGAGAGTATTTAGAGAGATAGAAGAATGAGTGAATGTTTGTGTCGAAAGTCTTCTCCCATTGATCCCTGTATATCAAATATATCAGCAAACCTGCTGGACCTCTCACGAGGTCTAGGGCTGTTTTTATCAACAAAGGTATTTCTCTCAAAACTTACTCGGTGACTTCACTAATATCGGCCAGCATATTCTGGAATGCGGCATTGTTGACCAGGATATCGACACCACCCATATCCTTGACTGCCGTATCGACGATCTTCTGGCAATTTTCCTTCTTGCGAATATCGATTGGCATACAATAGCACTTCTGACCGTACTGCTCGACCAGCCTCTTCGTCTCTTTGGCATCTTTCTCTTCTTCGGGGAGATATACGATCATGCTGGATGCACCTTCCATAGCGAAGAGAATTGCACAGGCACGTCCAATGCCCGAGTCGCCACCAGTGATGATGGCATTCTTTCCTTCGAGCTTGCCGGCGGCCTTGTAGGTTTGATATCCGCCATCTTCGGTGGGGATCTGATCGGAGACAGGCTTGGGGTTTTCCATGTCTGCCTGCAAGCCGGGCATCTTCAAGTGTTGGATGGGGATCTTGTGACCTGTTCAATTTAATTTAGTATCTATAGACTCCCAGCAAATCGTTGGTGTCTTACCTGGCTCGAACTGGGACTTCGAGCCACTGGCTGGCCTCTCTGTGGACTGGGAGACATGGAGCGGCATTTTGATTAGTTTTAGTTATAATATTAGATAGAGAGGAGTTGATCTGGTTTGGAATTCTCTGGTATGTATACGGAATTTCAAGGTGACAAATGGGTTGGATCAAGTTTAGGAGATTAGATCTTGATCATGCTGGGAGAGCATGTATTTAAGAATCCCAAGGCGCTTTTCGTCACAATGACATTTTCAATTGTTTTTCACTAGGGCCTGAGCCAAAGAGATGTGCTAATTACTGCAGGTGGCATTGATCCGTGCTAGAGATTGGTGCCACCGAAGATATAACTTCCCTATGCATCCTCTCAAGGGCATGATTTGGCAACTTTAATGGCAAAAATGATTAGAAGGTGGCACTTCTGGAGCCCCCATGATTCTAGACACAGAAACATCTTCTCTGATTTGAGAGGACTGGATTGTGGTTACAATGGTTGGGGTTTGCCACGTTCAGATCAGATGGCAACTTTTTTGAGACAAAAGCATGATGGTAATTTGTCGTCATCTCGCGACATGAGGATTTGTCTTGATACTATTTCACATGCACAATTTTTATCATAAGGATCGGGACATAGATATCTTGTTGAAGGATGACTGGGGTATCTGGGAGGTGCTTGATTGGACTTGCCACGGCGTTTCCCCGATGACTCGAACATTCAAAATGACTATGAATAACTTTATTGGCCCATTAAATGGATTGGGATAAACTAATAGACCGCTCTCGATACATGAGTACACCTTTACTAGATAGACTATGTTAAAGCCTGTGTTGAAGCATCCGGAAACCGAAGAGAACCCCTTGCGTGAGGGGAGAATAAGGAGGACGGCAATAGGAGTGATGACAATAACGAGGTGGGATGCCTCGGTGATGACATTCGCATAAATGCAAAATTGGTCACAAAAGGAGAGCAATGGCATGGTTTTATTTGTAGGAAGTCTCTGTCTATGGTCTAGGGGAACAATTGGTTCCTCTAGGAAAGTCCATATGCGGGATAGGAGAAGCTGAATTGCGGGCTTATCTTTTTGCTTTTTGCTCAGCGGCTCGATCCTGCCTGCCAGCGACCAAATTCTTTTTATTTTCTTTTCTCCCTGGGGCAAACGCTTTTTGTTGACATTGTTGACAGGCAGTTGCGACTGGCCATGTGCCTTCCTAGATTGGTACTAGCCGGAAGTGTCTGTAGAAGGAGTGGTTGCCGTCATTGTATGTATAGAGCTCTGTAGAGAAGAATTGCATGCAGATAATAGTGTGACATCTAGATCATTAATTTATTTAAATACTCTTAGAGCAAATAAATCAATCTTTATAAAGCAATTCACTACCGGTACCTTACGTATAGATGCCCCATTTGGTCCTTATCTTATCAACGAGGGCGGTGATTGGCCAACAACCAGGCCCGTACAATTTTTCTTCGGCGGCCTCAAAAGATTCCCTCCGCCTCGGAAGAGCACCATCGCCCAGCGTTTCCAACCGCTACGCTCCCACACACAATTCCACAATGGCGAAACGAAAGAACACCTCCGACGCAGCCACTATGGTGACACCCACCACCACCACAAAGACAGACCTCCCCTCAGCGCTGTCCACACCCTGGTCCTTCCTCCAACCCTCCAGCGACCTCCACGCACTCCTCGCAGACTCTGCTAAACAAATCCTCGACCCACTCGCGACATCCGTCGTGGATGAACAAACCGCCCGCAAACAACTCAACAAGAAGCGCAAGCGATCAGAAGAGATTGACGCCGCGCCGCCTCTGCAATTAAAGAATCTCTACGTTGACGGCTTCACATCGAATCAAGTATGGGAACAAGCGACGCGGATATTGGAGTCTGCGGGCGCGGAGATTCAGAGGGATGTTGCTCTTATTGCGCAGTTTGGGGATCTTGGCTCGGAGGATGAGGAGGGTTCTTTGGCTGAGGGGTCGGGTCCTGAAGAGCTGGGTTCTGAGAGTGATGATGCTGAGAGCATGTCGGATGCTTTCTCGGGGGATGAGGAGGATATTGAGGGGTCTGAGGCTGAGCTTGGAGAGGAGGATGAGCTTGAAGGGCTTGAAGAGGGCGGAGTTGACGACTTTGATGAGATGGAGGGAGAAGGATTCAGCGATGAAGACGAGGAAGGCTCCGCTGCCTCCGAGAAGGAGGAGGAAGATGGTGGTTTCTACACTGAAGATAAATTCGGCCTTAACGACGGATTCTTCTCTATCGACGACTTCAACAAACAGTCCGAAGAGCTAGAGAGGCAAGACATGAAGGGTGGCGCGGACGATGACGACGATGATGAAGAGGAGGAAGTCAACTGGCACGCGGACCCCATTGTTGCGACTGACGCTCTTCCTAAAGCTAAGCAAGATCCCATCGGGGGTGGTCGCGAGGATGAGGATATGGACGATGACAGCGAAGAAGACGGGCCGACTTTCGGCAACGCTGATCTCAACGCTGCCGACTCTGATGACGACGATGTCGAGCCTGACGTTGACCCCGAAGCGACCAGCTATGGCGACACCAGCAACATCAAATATGCCGACTTTTTCCAAGCGCCGGCTCGCAAGGCCTCATCTAAGAAATTCCGCGCTCTCCCCAAGACCCAGCCTAAGGCTGCTGCGGATATCACCCAAGAAGATGTCGATCGGGCCATGGCTGATGTCCGACGCGACCTTTTCGATGACGAGGACGAGATGGAGGAGGGAGGCGAAGACATGGAGGTAGATGGCGAGAGCCAGGGTCCCAAGTCAACCCACGAGAAGCAAAGGGCCAAGATCGCGGATGAGATTCGCCGATTAGAAGCCTCCAATGTTGCTAAAAAGGAGTGGACAATGGCTGGTGAGGCCCGGGCTGTGGAGCGACCTGTCAACTCACTTATCGAAGAAGATCTCGACTTCGAACGAGTGGGTAAGCCAGTTCCCGTCGTGACGAATGAAACATCCGAGGACATCGAGGAACTTGTCAAGCGCCGAATTCTCGCCAACGAGTTCGATGAAGTCATTCGCCGTCGTCCGGGTATCGGTGACTCCAAGGCCCAGCGTCGCGCACGATTCGAGCTGGCAGACACTAAGCCGCAAGAAAGTCTGGCTGAGATGTATGAGGCTGAACACCAGCGCGCCAATGATCCGAACTACGTCGACACTAAGGATAAGAAGCTCATGCGAGAGCATGCTGAGATCCAGAACCTCTGGAAGGATGTCAGCGCTCAGCTGGATACGCTCTGCAACTGGCACTACACTCCCAAGGCCCCCCAGGCCAATATCAATGTGGTTACCGATGCCGCAACCATCACGATGGAGGATGCTCGTCCTACAGCTGGCAGCGCCGCTGGCGGACCATCTGCGCTCGCTCCTCAAGAAGTCTACGCACCTGGCGACGGTGGAAAGGTTGCTGGCGAGGTTCTTCTCAAGACTGGCGCATCTATTTCCAAGGATGAGATGAGCCGTGAGGACAAGGCCCGCAAGAGACGACAGAACAAGGCCCAGTACAAGTCCAGCGACAAGCCCGCCGAACCCAAGGGCAAGGCGGCCGAGAAGCAACAACTGGTCTCTGATCTGAAGAAGGGTGGCGTCAAGGTCATTGACAAGGAGGGCAAGGTCACCAACATGGACGGTGGTAAAGACAGGAAAGAGCACGGTAACAAGGGTGATAAGTTGAAGCTGTGAAAGATCACAGCTGTACAAACAAAAAGTCGATAGGAAAGGATATCTAGTGATGGGGAGTTGAGGAGCCACATTTTGTGTATAGAATTTTTATTTCATGAGTTGGATAATATCATCGCTGCATCTATTGAAAATGGTCCATAGTTTCGCTGTTTCTGCTGGTTTCTGATGGAATGTCGCTGTCTATTTCGTTGCAAGTTCATTGTTGCTTTTGGGTGTCTTGCGTCGAATGGAGTAGAGAAAGATATTTTCGCGGTTATAGGTAGTCGCATTAGGGTCGTCACGAATCTCTTGCATATCGAAGGCCTTCTTGGCCATTTTCATGAATCGTAGATCCGCTCTTCGGCGGCGCTTGTAGCAGAAGTAGCACACTGTGTTGGGGCCGATGAGATCTTGCAGGGTGGAGAGGAGAAGAGGGAAAGCGGGCTCGAAGTAGACGCAGTCGGCAGCAATGATGATGTCCGGATTTGCGGGGATGTGAGCCGGGAGCGGCTCTCCCCAGTCTAATATTGAGGCTTTGACTTTTGTGCCGAGTTGGTTCAATTGGATGTTGTCTTGCATTAGGTCGAACATGGGTAGTTGATCAGTGATGTGGATCGGTGATGCGAATTCACATCCGCGTGCGACGCCGAGACCGACGAGGCCTCCTCCGGCTCCGATTTCCACGCTATACTGCGGTGTCAGTTTGATTCTGTTTATTTGGTAGCAGCCAGGCGAGGTGGGGGAGAATAGGGGATGAAGAGAGAGGTTGGTGGCCATGGGTTTCCCCTAACACACACGGGCTAACCGACATGGTTTTCCCAGACATGTCCGAGGCGTGTTGAGCAAGAAGATATCTAGCCAGAGTCATTCCGGCTGGCCAAAGCTGACCACCGCAGCCATTTTTGAGATCTTCCTTCAAGAGCAGCGGATCGCTCAGGAGTCCGTCGAAGGTGACATTCGTAGTACCGGCGGCCTTGTTGACTCGTGGGGGAGCTAAAGTATTGCTCACGTTGAAGGGGGCATCCGGATTGGATTCTGGGCTAACTGATCTCTCCATTGAGTCTGATTGTGAGTGAGGGCAGTGGACGTTTATTTTCTTATTTTTTTTTTTCTCTGGAAGGGTGGAAGAGCAAAGAATCTCGGTGCGGCAAATACAAACCAGTCTACTGCCATCCAGTGGGGCCTTTTCGCCTTAGCCCGGTGCTTATCGCCGGCGAATCACATGATGGACGGAGTGAAAATCATGAGGCTAGAAAATAGGAAGATATAGCATGGGAATGAAGGTAGTATACGATGAGAAGAAAAGAAAAGATAGCAGGAATCATAATGCACAATATGCAATCCTTGATATAGATGCTGTTCTCTATCACTGGAAGACTTGGCTAGTCCCTAGGGCCACTCTCCGTATAGAGCACTTGCTAGGATGAAACACGATATACCGTGTGCATGCTGGGATTGGAGAATAACACAAAGAAGCAAAAAAAGAAGCTTGCGCCCGTGCGCTATTCCCCAATGGAGATCTGCAAATCCTGGCAGGTGGGCGAACCCCCACATGGTGGAGGTGTTACGGGGTCGACCCGAGGCTGGGGGACATCATACCATATACGGTGGGGAGTACAGAGTGTGGAGTGCAGAGTACAAGGCAATCTGACTCTGACGTGCTTTCTAAAACAAGTTCCCAATTTCAGTGGACTTGCAAGTAATCGTTTTCGTGCTTTCCGAGGAAAGAACCACCCGTAGCCAGTTCCAGTTTCAGTTTCAAGGCGTAAACGTGATCTGACGTCATGTGCCCTCCGCATTGCACTGAATCATGACGACGTCACTTGCATACCTACCACGCCATGGAAAGCTCCCAGTTGCTTTAAAACCTCATGTGCTCCCTTGGAACTTTTCTTCCATTCAGATTTGATCATCCAATAAAGCAATTTTACTCATCATGACTACCTTGCACTGTATGTACCTGCATTGCCAACTGCAAGACAGACAACCATTGAGAGCAGCTTCACTAACATACCTTTTTCTACCTGTCAGACCTTCCCCCCGTCAAGCCCTCGGCCATCGCCCTGGGTACGTTCTTCACCCACACAGCTTCCCTGGGCATTTTGGCCCCAGTCTTCGGCGACACCTACCACCGCGCCCAGGCCGCCAACTCCAAAGAGGAGTTCATCAAGTCCAAGGAGGCTGCCGGTGCCGCCGCCGCATGGGGAAGCTCCCTCGTCGGCAGTGCCGTCCAGACCTACGGTGTCGCTGCTCTGATCAACGCCACCGGCACCCTGAGCTACAAGGGCGCCGCATACCTCGGAACGCTGATCTTCTTCGCCAGCTCTGCTCCCGGTGTACGTCCGCTCCAAAGAATAACGCGATTACTTTAGAAGTGCATACATGCTAATGTTCCATCACAGTTCGTCAGCCAGATCTTCGCCGAGAAGAGGCCCATTGACACCGTTGCTGTCGGTGCGGTATCTCGCGTGTTCGAGACCGTTGGCCTCAGCTTGTTCCTCACCTGGTGGGGAACTCGCACCAACCCGTTCGATTAGTTATCTCTACGGAGTCTATGTGCCGGATAAATTATCTCAGTTAGCTCGGGCCCGGACATGATTGATATGAAGAGGGTGTCGGCGTCTGTGTATCTACGGTCTAATTCTTCTCTCTAATGTAAATGAACACAAATGTGCCTTCTCTATTGTTAAAAGCTGTCCTGTAACCCATCCTTGGCGCCTCTCAGAATACTTCAAGTTGTTGAACCGAGTCAATGTGCCACAGCTCATTGTATGCTCTGGTATCATATATTAGGATACTCACTGGCAATGCATGGCAATTTTAGAGATGTGGCACCCAGGTAGTAGTAAAGTACACGTACAAGTAGTACACATACTACTTGAAAACGTAGTCAGCGGCTCGTACTACCCAAGCAGCTTAGACTCGCAAGCTGGAAGCACACCTATCACTCAAAACGTTAGAGGATAGAGCAGTGGGCACTGGGACTTGCTTGATGGAATGTATACCTACAAATAGTGCGGAACAACTGATGAATATATCAAAAGATTATTCTCAACTTATGCGAAGAAGGCTGATGAGGTTGTGTTGGATATCTTGTGATTCTAGTCCGTGACTACAACCTGAAGGAAATAAGAATCGAGCATATGCCAACTTGAAATCAACTGGCATTAGAACCATTCACTCGCTTCGTTATGGTCCCATACCATTTCCGCTTGATATCGATTGTTCTAGACAAGGGGAACAGAAGAAATTGAAAAAAGGAAATATGTATTGAATATCACATAAACTAGCCAACCCTTTTGAGGGCGTAATCAAAGCCTCTCCACGAAACGATCTAATCAAACAAAAGTGCGGCACGGGTAGCTAAAATACCAGCATTAGTGACAGACCGGAAAAACCATTGCAGGCAAGGGAACCCTCGGAAAAGAAAACAAAAACGACTCACATATCGGGGTAACCGTTCTCTGTACCGAGCTGGTATGTGGACTGAGACTCCTTGGCGACAGTGTTGAGGTTGGTAGGGGAAGGAGGCAAGCCATTGGCACCCAGAACGCTGGCAACACCAGTCTTGTTCTTCTCGAAGTAACCGGCAAGACCACGCTCCTCGCCCTCCGCCTTGACAGAGACAATCTGCTTGGCGCCAGCCTCGCCGAGCTGCAGGACGTCGTCCTTGGGCGCGGCCTGGCTGCCGACGGTCAGGAGAGACACGGCGTCGGCCTGGGTGATGGTGCTGAGTGTCGGGTAGTTCCTCCGGGCGTCGCGCTTCCAGTAAGGGTTGTCGGCGATGTCACCGGCGGGGAGGGTGACTGGGTCATCGTAGGCGAGAGGGGGGGTTAGAGCCAGGGGTGGGCAGGCGGAACTGAGAGTTCAGAGGGACACCGGATGATCGGTTCGGGTCGACCGCGAGGGTGCGACGGACCCAGTCCCAGATACCCTTGGACTCGAGGGTGTATTTCTGTGATCGGAGAGGGTTAATTTAGGTCATAGAAATTTGTCAATTCCTTCTAGGACGTACCTGCGCAATTGGAACGACGTGGGATGCCGCCTTAGCGGCTTTGATAGCACCGCCGGCCATACTGAAGACTTTGAACTGAATCCCTGTATCAGCACACAAAGCTCGAAATCCTCCCCCTCGATGGTAGAGGGTAAGTGTATCAGTGTAATTGAGTCTCCTACTCACGTTGAAAAGTCTTTAAGCTCGTCAAGCGGTGGTGGCGGCCTTCAATATTCAAGATGCGGCACGTCAGGATACGGAGTGGTGCAGTTGAGTTCGGATTATTGTATCTCCACATTCCCGGTTGTCAACCAACCATCGACGCTCCCATTACTAATGTCTGTTCTCTACTTATTTACCTGACAATACAGTTGCTGGAGATGGGATATAGGAAATGAAACTCAGTGATGTCTCATATAATGAACCAACTATTACCTATCTGTCTATCTATCAAGACAACGTGTACTTTATTTACCCAATAGCTGGATGTAGGTATATAAGACATACCACAAACGCCGAAAGCATACATAGGGTAGCTATGCCCGATCAACAAAATTTAGGACACACTTGGTGAGTAATTCGGTACTATTCACTATTTCATAATATTTAGTATTTGATGGACGCTCTGGAAAATCATTGGTTTGAATTTCTATTTGATACTAGTATCATGGTCATCACAATTTGAATATTCCACTTTCCTTACTGGTATCCACATATTCAGTTAGGCTATGTTTTACAAGTAGCAACGACCTGCTTGTTAATCAGTCTCTATCTTGTAAGGTTCCCGGTCGGCAATTGATGTTTCATAAAGATTGAACACCCAATAAACACCGTGACGACATTCAAGGAATGCAGTGGCTTGCATGGAGTTGTGCCCGGGCCACAGCTGCGGGTGCCCCATGGCATTTCTGGCTTCCCTCTCACACCTCATGACAAAATAGTTGTAAATCTCAACGTATGCTTCACTTGTGGGGAAAACTGAAAACAAATATCACCTTGGGTATTTCCTAAAACATGTTTGCGTAAAGGTGGTTTCGTTATAAATCACAAGATTCGGGTGATCTGGTAGTACTACGTCGAACAGGGGTGATCACCATAGCAGGGTGTTCTCCGTCATCTCACCATGCTCAACACGACTATTTAGCCTCATCGCCGTTCTCCTCCTTAGTATCCTCCTTTGCTTCCTCCTTGGCCGGACCCGTGGCCACAATCTTTTGGACAGCATCGACGGTAGCATCAGGACCTCCCTGCTCACGAATCAGGACCTTGCCACTCTTGTCGACGGCGAAGACACCGCGAATGGTTCCCTTAGGGGCCTTCTTCAGACCAATGGCGCCGATGAGGCCATAGCTTGGGTTGCACAGCAGTTCATATGGAAGATTCTGCTTAGTCTTGAAGGTGGTGTTGGCCTTGGGCGAGTCGCCCGAAAGACCGTAGATAGATAGACCGGTGGATGAAAGGTGGACAAAGTTGTCGCGGAAGAGGCATGCTTGCTTGGTACCTATGGATGAAATGTTAGATTTAAGATTCAAATATGATGAGGGGACGAAATGGTGTTGGCTATCAGCGCGCGGGCGCGGTAGGATGGAGACATACATCCAGGAGTCGAAGCTTTAGGATAGGTAAAAATGACCACACCAGCCTTGCTGTCGTCGACAAGCTTCTTCAGAGAGGTCGCGGTGCCTTCATTGGTCTCGAAATCACCACCAAAGGCCTCTAGGTCAATGACATCGCCCACCTGAGGTACCTTCGGTTTATCATCATCAACTGGAGCGACAGTCTCCTCCTTTTTGGTCGCCTTTGGCTTGGGACCAGGCTTGCTCTTTTTCTCCACGACAGGAGGAGGCGCGGGGGCCTTGCGCTTGCGAAGTTCAACCATAATGAGGGGGGATGGGGTGTGAAGTGGAGAGAATGGATAGCTCAGCTGCAGCTCCTCGTGCGGGATTGTTGTGCCTGCGTACCAGGTACACTACGGTACATGTAATGACTAAGCGCCAAGCACACCAACACGGGAGATTCCGACCCACGGCTCCTCTCGGGACTGCCCTGACCCGCGCGCGTGAAAAATCTCGATTTGACGTTTTCTCTTGATCGCCACTCAAACCCACATATTCCCCATTCTTTTTTCTAGCCCAACACCTGACTCATCTAGGGATTTTTTGTGTCCACTGATATTGTTTCGACCTCGCCACTTTTGATCTTCGCGTCCTCAAACTCTCCATACTCTCTTTCACCCCGTCTGGTGTTTCGCAATTTCGCAATCACCCATTTCCAAGGGACTCGCCTGTTGAACGCGCCTCACGATGAAGGTCTTCTCATCTACCTGCGACTTCGACTACTCCTGGGAGGAGGTGTCTACGGCAAACTGGCGCAAGTATTGCCCCTGGAACGACAAGGCAACCCACGTTGTCGGTGTCGACACTCTCTCCCGGACTATCGACCCCTCGACCGGAATCGTGAGTCAACACTCGATACAGCATGTTTTACCCTGAACCCCGAGCTAACCTTTCTTTCAGCTGCGTACTGAGCGTCTGATTACCTGCAACCAATCTGCACCACAATGGGTTGTCACCCTTCTCGGCGGATCTACGACTTCCCACGTCTACGAAGTTTCCTACGTCGACCCCGTCTCTAAGAAAGTCACCATGTGCTCCAACAACCTGACATGGTCGAATGTCCTCAACGTCCGTGAGACCGTTACCTACCAGCCATCATCATCCGCCACCACCCAGTTCACTCAGGAGGCGAAGATTACCGCTCTCTGCGGCGGATGGCAAAAGATCAAGAACAAGGTCGAAGAGGCTAGCGTGGAACGATTCAAGGAGAACGCCATTATCGGCCGCGAAGGATTTGAAACAGTCCTCGAGATGAGCCGCCGAGTCTTTGGCGAACAACGCGATCTCGAGAAGCAGAAGCTGTAGCCGACATCGGCCTCGCTCTGTAACACCGCCACCTTTCATTTCCACCTTCCTCCGCCCTAACCTACTCTACTCGACCCGACGACATTCGAAGCATCACCTCTCCTTAACGATTCCTGCATCGAGCGATTGCATAATACCGGCGCTTTTGTTTTTTTCCTGTCCTATTTCTTCTTTCCCAGCATTTCAAAGCACACGGCGCCACCCGGAGTTTACCCCAATCGAATCGATTTTTTGTCGTTTTCCGCCCTACCCCTCACGGAAAAAGGGAACCCTGCGCCATGCACCGGAACAATCCCCGGTGTCGTATAAACCAACATGGCCAGCAAAAAGAAAAGTTATGAATTGTTCCCAGCGATTCATTTTTCTACGTTTGAATACGAGCGAGTGATATCCACCCCTTGAGGGCATAGAGATGCATAGAAGTTTCCCAGTTATCGAAGTTAAAAGACCGAACTCTCTCAACTACTGTACAGAATTGCCTTTTGTTGGTCTCGTTAAATCATCTAATCAATTCCGAACAAATTCAATAAATCCACTAGCCAGTATCCAGTATCCAGCCAGGTAAAAAAAGAAACGAACTCCCGAAAACGCCTATCTCGGATCGTAAAACAGAAATTATACTCGTAGGCTCGCGGAAGCCGGTGAGATCTTCGGGACCCATTCATAATCTAAAGGGTAAATGTCGTGATAAATACCACATCACATCATATCATATCAAACCAAATCAAATCAACCCATCAATCCACCAAGCACCACCCGATTGACGCCAGAAACCTCATTCTTGACGCTATTCCGACTTGCGTCCTCAAACTCCCGCACCGCACCAGCAACCATAATCTTGCGCAGTTTAGCATCCGCTTTAGAGAATAACTCCCCAAGCCCAACCGTACAAGTCGACGGGGACGAAACCAAGCTCAGAATCCTCGTGTAGCAATCAATCAGCACATCGCAAAGCGTAGCGAACGTCTCAAAGAAATCCGGCTCAAAGGGCAATGAGGGCGTCAGGAGGTACGTGTATTCTTCACCGGGGAGGAGGTCGGAGGACTCGGTGAGGGGGAAGGAGATTATCGAGGCTGCCGCCGCATTGGCGGGCGAAATGTTATTCGCCGCACTTTTCAGATCTGAGGGATCGCTTGTTTGCATGGGTAAACCGATTTCGGTGGCCGAGCTGGCTCTTCGAGTCTTGGTGCCGGCGTGTGCGGCTCGCTTGAACATTTGGGGTATACGTGCTCGGGCGAGACTGGATGAGGAACTGCCGTCTGGTGGGTGGACTTGTTGGTATGCTTCGAATTCGAGGAGGAGGGCGTTCAAGGCTCGCATGTACTCGAATGGAGTCGAGTTGACGTCCAGGATTGGTGGGAGGGATAGGCCGAGGAGGAGATAGTTGACGGCTCGGCGGGAGAGCTTTCGGGCTTCGAAATATGGCATGCGATTGATGTCTGCTCGGGAGAAGTGGACAGTATTGAACCAGTAAACACGGCCCTCGAGGCTGGAAATGAGAAGACGCCCCTTGGTTAGCTTGTCGGTTCTCAAATGTATTCGTCTTGTAGGCCGATATTGCTTACGCCTTTCTCAAGTAGCCCAGAGTCGAGATCCGCTTCGTAGCCATGTCGTGAATTTGTTGATATATGGCTGTGGCGCTCTGTGGCCCAAAGGGACCTCCGCCGCTTGACACTGGTGGGATGCTTCCATGTGGAGTGTCATATCCGCCAGTGGACTTGGCTGTGTCCCTCCGTGACAAGCTTGGGGCAAATGTAGATGCAATCATTGTGGATTTGTAGTTGTGTCTCGTTCACAGAGATTCGATAGGCAATATGACGTTGGGCGCACAGGGATGACAGACAGGGGGGTCCCCCGGGTTATCGCGATCGCATCCACGGAATGGAAATAAAGACCAAGAATCAAGAATCGAGAATCGAGGCAGTCCGGAGGAGAAGTCCAGGTTAGAGGGGCACAGATGACGTTCCTAAGCAACTGGATAAGGGAAAAAAGGGAGGCTTGGCCCTGGGCGCAGAAGATCTGGAGTCTTTCCCCACAGCCCCTCCGGTCCCTTTCCGCCTGGAACTAATTAATTTACTCTCTACTCCGCTGCCCCTCGAATTCTTTTTCCCCTTTCAACCACTTTTCCTTACTCACAATTAATTGACTCAATGACCTCTACATCCCCCGAAGAACAGGTTCCTCTGCCTGGCCAATGGCCGGTACATCCCCAGGAGGACCAGGCCATCTCCGAGGACAAGATTTGGGTCGACGGTTGCTTCGACTTCACTCACCACGGTAGGCAACAACATGCGCATGCGCATGCGCCCTCTTGACACTGCAATAAACTGACATTGGACCGTCTACTCTAGGCCATGCTGGTGCTATGCTTCAAGCTCGTCGTCTCGGCAAGGAGCTCTACGTGGGTATTCATTCCGACCAGGCAATTCTAGAAAATAAGGGTCCAACGGTGATGGCTCTGGACGAACGGTAAGTTCCGCGATTGGCGCCCAATTTCCAATTCTTCCAACGTGCTCACCTCATTATTTTCAATGCTTTCAGTGTCTCTGCCGTCGATGCTTGTCGCTGGGCTACTCAAAGTGTTCCCCATGCTCCCTATGTGACCTACTTGCCCTGGGTCTCCCATTACGGCTGCAAATACGTTGTTCACGGCGACGACATTACCTCTGACAGCGATGGAAACGACTGCTACCGATTCGTCAAGGCCGCCGGTCGCTTCAAGGTTGTCAAGCGCACTCCTGGTATTTCTACCACCGACCTCGTTGGTCGTATGCTTCTCTGCACCAAGAACCACTTTGTCAAGTCCGTCAAGAACACTCTGGCTGGAGAGGAGGGATCCGGAAGCCCCGAAGAGCGCAAGGCAACCGCCACAGACCTTCTGCAGAGAATTACCGACTACGCGACAGATGAGAGCGGCCTGCAGCCTGGTCCCCAGGTCTGGACCTGGACTGGATCCGGTAGCGCCAAGATCGACGACCAGGTCGAGGAAGCAGGAAAGTATGAGACTCTCGTCGCTGGAAAGGGGCCCAAACCCGGCCAACGGATTGTTTACGTTGACGGAGGCTTCGACCTATTCTCCTCCGGTCACATTGAGTTCCTACGCAAGGCCATGGAGCACGAAGAAGCCGAAGGACTTACACGAGGCTGGTACGAACCCGAGGCGAAGGAGAAGCGAATCCAAGAACATGGCGAAGACTACGCTCCAGCCTTCATTGTTGCTGGCATTCACGACGACGACGTGATCAACCACTGGAAGGGCCTGAACTACCCGATCATGAACATTTTCGAGCGCGGTCTCTGCGTTCTCCAGTGCAAGGTGAGACATTTCCCAATTTCGTCCCACCCACTATTTAAATTTTTATTTTTTGGGGGGCCTTCGTTACATTAAGTCCACGCTAACGCCTCCAACCCTTTTTTTAGTACATCCACGCTGTCGTCTTTTCCGCCCCCTTTGTGCCTAGCCAGCCTTACCTCGAGACTCTGCCATTCGGCACTCCCGACGTCGTCTACCACGGACCCACCACTTTCATCCCCCTGACCTACGACCCCTACACCGGGCCTAAGAAGATGGGTATCTTCCGCGAGGTCGATCGCCACGCTTTCCAGCATGTGAACGCTGGCGAGATTGTCGCGCGCATTCTTAAGAGCCGCGAGGCTTATGAGGCTAGACAGCGCGCGAAGTTGCAGAAGGGTGCTGCGGAAGATTTGTTTAAATCGCAAGAGCAGGGCTCTGCTTAAACTTGTCTCAGTCCATCGTGTGAGTAGTACGCGAATGTAAAAGGAACGAAAAGAAAACTTAATTAGCTGTATATATTTGGGCCTCATCAACTGGGGTTCATTAAATATGGGGAGGAGATTTTAGGCTTTGTTATCGATAAAGTAAAATCAATGCTAGTATACATACCTATAGTCAACTGGATGGATGTTCAAGTCTGTAGCAGGGAAGAGGGACTATCCAAAGTAGCCCTAGTATCTACTAGTAGTACTGTAGTAGTTAAATCATGCCTGGGCACTGCAGGTTTCTGAGTAAGTTCCGAGGAAGACTTTAAACCCATTTGGATATGGTTTTGCTATAGCTTTTTATGCCACTATTGTGGTTAGCATAGCTTGACTGGGGATCCGTTTCTAAGACTTCTCCGCGGTCAAATCTTGCCAATGATCTGTTCCACAGCGGTAGTTGTGATAAATGGGTCTCCTTCTATTTTCCAGGATAGTCTGGGCATACCTTGTCAATGAAGTCAAGAAGATCTGGCCATAGTAAGTACATCTAGATTATGCTGTGGTATCATGTAGGATCCTTCTAGCGGTGAAGCTGAGCTATAATAGACCCTTAGGGAAGCTGAAGGTGGCACACTAGTAGTATTCATTGTTGATAGCACCCAACGACTGCACTCCCAAGGTCACTCTTGCGAGCTTGGATCATCGAGCCAAGCTCTAATTTTTCCAAGCGCAAAGGTATCATGCCGCGCCTCCGACATGGTATAGTCTCCAATCTCCCCTTCAATCCACCCTTTTGTTCCCCGAATATATTTCAACTTCGTACCAAGCTTCTGACATCCCCCAAAGTCAATCAAGACCGGCATTCCGGCATCGCTAACTAGGACATTGGTTGGCTTGAGATCATTATGCGCCCAACCAAGCCCATGTAGATGCTGAATTACAGACTCGAGCGCGGTCATAAAGAGGACTTTATCGAGTCTCTCGTATCCGTGCTTCACATAGGTCTGTAGATCGTGCGGATGTATGTCAAGCACGAGGCCGGTAATATGGCCGCGCGCGACACGACAGCCATGGTATTGGATCAGGTTAGGGTGTGGATGCTGCGACAGTTCTTCTAGCACTTGCACTTCTACTACGAATGCGTTGTACAGCTGTTTCTCAATCCCCATATTTTTGAGCATACTGTACAGCTCCAGCGGGGGACGTTTGATATACACTTTTGCAGGTAGTGTTTCTGGTGTTCTGCGAATTTTCGCCTCTGACAGGGGCCATGGGGGGGAATATGGCGTCGTCGAGGACAGGACTTAAAGCAGCCATGATATTTTCGAGCGATATTTCCGTCTTTGGAGCGCTCAGTTGGCCATGATGGAAGGTGTCGTTGTCGTCGATGAGGCCAAACGATGTATACTGTAATTCATTGGTGTCAGGGACTACTTCCTCCGAAATGAATTCTAGATCATCCCAGTTGGTGATTCGGGATATCATGCTTAGATTAAGTAAGCTGTATAGAGTAGATGAGGCGGGTCCAGACTATGACTGACGAATATGAGTTGAAGTGAATTGTTTAGGTCGGAAGGATCTACGGTGTGAACGAGCGGTAAAGGCGGGGAATAAAGGCAGACAATGAGCGTGTCAAAGTAAGCAAGTCCATAACTTGGCTGTCTCAATAACGACAAAGGTTACTTTGGGCTTATATCAGCACGATATACGAGAGCTCGTGATAAAAGAGAAGAGAGAAGAAAAGAAATCTATACTTGAGATGACTACAATGAAGGCACGGGTGTTAGATATCAGGACTATACTAGTAGCAGAAGAATAAGAAGAAATATCCGATGTAGCCAAATTATAGACTTTGAGGCTCGAAGGACCTTTCTTTCTTTTTGATTCTACTAGTAGTAAGAGACTTGACGAAAACAAAAAGCCCATGGGTTGCACTGCGCTGAGAGACTAGGGATAATAAATGCAATACTTATTCTTTCGAGTAATTTAGACGACGTTGGGACTCGGATCATGCACCAGTTCTTCTTCTGTATTTTGGCTTGACTTGGGTCTGAGCTCCAGAGACCGAGTAGGAGTAGTCCCTAGTTGATCTTGTGAGCCTCTCGGAGAGGGCACGTCGTGAGAATTACTCGGCCACCCAGTTGCCTGGCGACCAAGCTCAGATTTTCCCCGGTAGTGACGCACCAGGCCTGGCACCAGAGGAAGACAGGCGCAAATAATACTCATGTGTATCTCAAGAATGGTACAGAGAAGGGGCGTAGCTAAAATGTCTAGTTAGGTATCATCAAAGGAACGCAGAAGTTGCAACGGTGGGAAGGAGAAACATACTTGAAACGCCACCATTTGTGAGCTCCAGTGAAAGGGCAGTCATTCTCACAATACTCGCAACGCATACACTTAGAAACCTGTCAGAAACATATATCCTAAACGAGAGCGGAAAATAGTTCCTGCACTCACAAGAGCCCAAGGCAAAGTACCACAGACACATGAATCTTACGCTTCGTATCCAAATGAAGCTTCCACACCAAGGGCTGAGGTAGACAAAGGATAGTAAAATCCAACAGGATATTTATGATTCCCATTGTCTTCCAAAATATCCCGTCTTCACCTCCGCAGACCGGAAACCAGGTTTTCCATTGCGCTTGAAACGGGTTGAGATCTTTCCTAAAGATCAAGGAAAGTTCCGAACCAATCCAGTAGATGGTGACCAGGCCAAAAGTAACCCAAACTGCGACGTCAAATGTTATTTTCACGCTGAATATTCGGCGGAAGAAGAGCAAGATAGATAGTTTCGAAGTTGAAATAGCTGATCAATAGACGATCCGGTTCGCCAGCGTAATCTACTAAAATTTTGACTATCAATTAGTTGATTATTCACACGGTTATCTCTGTAATCTATTGCCTGACACGTATAAAAAGCAACGGGATAAATATTCAACTTGGGAGGAAAACGAACTTTGTAAAATTTCGCTAGGCCATGAGTGGTATCTACCGTAACATGGTAACCGGCACGACCAACTGTTCCTGATAAGGCGGTAATGACTAGGATACCATATGCGAAGAGTAGAGACATCAAGCAAAGCCAGTCATCCCATTTAATCGACTTAGTGATGTGACGAGAGACGAAGCGCAGAGCGACTAGGGAGCTTGAAATCACAATCATCAAGGCGCTAATTCCTAGTCCGACGACATAGCGGGGGCTCGTATTTGCTGGCAATTGAGGTGATGAATCTCGAATGTACATTAACATGGCCGATCACAGTAGATATGTAGAGTCCAGTTTATGAATAGGGACCCGGGGATATCTTGAAAACGGGGCAAGTATGCAAGAGAACTTTGTCGGGAAAACAGTGCATCAGCGTGGTTGGACAGAACAAGCACTTTACGGAAATCAACTATATTACTATGCTGCACAGCCCTCAGTAAATCAGAGAAGGATGCGCAGGTGGCCTGGAAAGGACAAAAAAAAGGTCGATGCTATGTGTAACCAACAAAAGCCGCGATATCGTCGTATATTAGGCACGTCATTCGGCCATTCGAGGACTGCGGCGTGAATACGCCCCGAGGGTTTGTGGCAATCTGCGAGGTTGATCGTGGAAAGGATTGCAGTCTCAAAATTGATTGGACTGGATCGTCGAATAGGGTCACTTCAGGACTGTCGTGTGTTTTCCTGACTCAGAGCGACTGGGATCGTGCGGCGCTCCATACTAGCAGCATCGACTCAATGTTTCCCAGTTAGATATATACTAGTACCCTAAATTGTCACTACTAACTAGCACTAGGATCAAGCAATTTGTATAAGTAGATTAGCTTCACCGAGAGGGCGGTAAAGTCTGAAGTAGTACAGGTAACTTTATTAGAGGTCATATTGGGACGCTGGCGGAAACAGTGGTCGATTGCGGCTCTGGAGCACCGTAGGATCCTTGCCCCGAGTCACGCCAAAACTATTGCATATAGATATTCGAGCCAAGATTGTATCGCTGAAACATTGAGGACTAGAGCAAATTCCAGAATGTGCTTGAGAAGGGATATTCAATCTAAAAGGGATGATGAAGATATTTTACAAAGGTATTAAGCCGTCCAGCAATGCCAACGCACTGCCAAAGAAAAAGCCAAGGTATCAAATTTATTGGTCCGCCGCCACAAGGACACCCTTCTCCTCGAGCATCTTCGAGAGCTCACCATTCTGGTGCATCGACATCAGAATATCACATCCTCCAACGAACTCCTTGTCCAGGTACAGCTGGGGAATCGTAGGCCAGTCGGAGTACTCCTTGACACCTGCGGAAACGGTCAGAACAAACCCCAAGCGAAGATCCTTGTAAGCCGATTGGATGGTATTAACTTACCCTGGCGAAGCTCTGGGTCCTCCAGCACGTTAAACGCAACAAACTTCTTAGGGTCGACGCCCTGCAGACCGAGGATTTGGATGCTGGCGCGCGAGAAACCGCACTGGGGAGTCTCGGGGGTGCCCTTCATGAATAGCACGACGGGGGCAGAGCCAACGGCCTTGTCGATGGCGGCCTTGGTCTCGGTGGAGATGAGACGGGCGTGGAGGATGGAGGGCAGTTTGAAGGCCGGGGCGGAAGCGCGGACGGGGCGCAGAGATGTTGGCCGCGCGATGGGGCGGAAGGCCTGGGAAGGTTAGTCTTCAGATGACTTGATGCTCTGGCTGGGTATTTGCGCACCGAGAATGCAGTTCGGGAGAACATGGTATCGGCTGTGTGGGTATAAAGTTGGAGAGATGTGAAGGTCCAAAGGAAATAAAAGTGCGGGTGTCGGAGTTGCCCTCGGAGGTTTGGGTTGGTTTAGTAATGCATCGTTGGCCGCAGGTCTTACGTCGTTGCCCCACATCAAGCTTCAACCCACCTCTCACTTTCTCCCTCACTTACATATTCTCGAACAGTGATATTCACCGTAGGGATAGAATCCCCATGGATCCTCACTCTGAACCCCCTTTCTCCGCTCAAGAACACCGCCAAGACAACAAAATCCACATCCTCCTCGCAGCATCCGGCTCCGTCGCCACCATCAAAATCCCGAATATCGCAGAAGCTCTCGGTCGTCACCCAAATGTCTCGATTCGCATCATAGTCACTGACTCCGCGGAGCGATTCCTGACGGCTCAAAGTGCCGAGCAACCGCTTCTCGATAGTTTGCGCAATACTCCCGGAGTTGATGGAATCTATAGAGACAGTGATGAATGGGCAAGGCCTTGGGTTCGCGGAGCACCAATTCTTCACATTGAATTGCGGAAATGGGCACATATATTACTAGTGGCGCCTTTGTCCGCTAATACAATGGCTAAGATGACGGTGGGCATGTCTGATAACCTCTTACTGTCGGTGCTACGAGCTTGGGACACGACCGGTCTGGTGGATTTGGGATTCAAGGCTAAAAAGCCAATGGTTTTCCTGGCACCTGCGATGAACACGGCTATGTATGTTCACCCGGTGACTGAGAAATCACTGAAGATACTGCGGGATGAATGGGGTAGGAGTCAGTCCAACCCTGAAGGTTGGGTCACTATTCTTCCGCCCATTGAGAAGTCTCTGGCCTGCGGAGACGCGGGTACGGGTGGAATGATGGACTGGAGAGATATTGTGAATACTGTCCGAGAGTATCTGGATCTCCCGGTGGTTGATTCGTGATATATTTTACATCTATTGCTGTGTTGACTCGGACTCGGAAAGTCCTTTGTCGCTATTGTACAAACCCAGGTATTGCGCGGCATACTCACCAAGAAGACCCAACGAGATACCACCACCCGTGAGGAGACCCCCATTCACAAACCACCACCAGCAGTTTCGAACATTCTTCAACTGAACTTTCCAGATCATCAGGCCAAGGGACAGGATGGCGCTGCCGCAGCTGCCAACGAAGAAGACCGGTCCACATCCTGCAGCAACACCGGCTGCTCCCCAAAAGTCCGATCTGAACTGTGGCCAGACCAGTCAGAATGGCCTTGGTGTCCTTGTCATGGCGGAGGGCGATGGACTTGATTCCGGCCTTCACATCATCCTTGATGTCCATGTGCGCATAGATCATATCGTAGAGGATAGTCCAAGCAACACAGCTGGTATACAGGGCCCCCGCGGCCATCAATGCATCATTATTAGAAAGTAAATCCACACCCAGGGCTGGAAAGCCCATCATTGCCCCCCATGAGAAGGCTAGACCCAAGACCGCTTGGGGGTAGTGGGTCACCCGCTTAGCCAGTGGGTATGCCACGACAAGAGGCATACTAGGGATTCCATACCAAATACATTGAGTAGGAAATGATACCAAGACCCCGAGTCCAGCTAGCAGCTGCGAACCCGTAAAGAGCACAGCTTTCTTGGGTGAAAGGGCTCCTCGCGCAATTGGGCGATATTTGGTTCGTTCGACATGAGGGTCCAGATTCCTGTCCCGAAGGTCGTTGATTGCACATCCAGCGCCACGCATGATCAAAGCACCACTGAAGAAGAGCGCAACTGTTCCCAGAACATGTATCGGTGTTACATCGGTGGCCATTGGTGCGGCGAGAAGCGTGGAGAAGAGGGTCGGGAAGAAGAGGTAATAGGTACCAGCGGGCTTATCCAGGCGGACTAGTTCGGCGTAGGGAATCCACGACTTTGGCAGGGATGCAATCAATCCTGTTTGCGGAGGGATATAATGTGTTGCTGGGTTTGCATTTGCATTCTGTGTCTCGGGCTCGGATGTTTGTACCTGCGCATTGCGCCTTGGGATGATCTGCAAAGATGCGCGGTGCGATTGGAGCTGAGAAGGTCGGATCCGCTTGGTTGTAGTCAATGACTGTGTGCGAATGAAGGTCGACAGGGCACCGTTATTCCGAGAACCACCAGTGTATCCTTGCGCTTGCCAGCATTGAGGTACCCGGGATCGACGGAGGAGTCGGGAGCCGGAGATGGAGGAGAGCATCGCGGCGGGAGGTCGGAGGTGCGGAGGTGCGGAGATGCGGAGAGCTGTAATCATTCGAGGCAGTGAAAGTGAATGGATTCAATCGAGAAGAGCTGGAGTGGTGCTACCGAGTCATGATCTTGTTTAGTGTTGTAAAAAAGAGGTGAAGTTTAAAATCGGCGAGCAGCAGGACCAGGACCCACCGCCTGGAAGTGTATGGCTTCCCTGCTACTTTAGCCTGCCGCGGAGCCGCCAGGTACGCTCCTCCCCACTTTCGCATTCGCTACATTCACTGCCGTCACTATTCGTACCTTCTCTTCACTTCCTCTACTACTTCCTCCCTTCTCTCCTACCTCTCTTCTACTATCATCCTGTCGACCCTCATCTATCCCTTCTTCGATACATCCGACCTCTTCCCTCGTGTATCCCAGTGATCTTCGCCGAGTGGGCCGCTCTATCCAACGCGACGCGCCTCATCTCGCCCACGCTGCACCTCTTCCCTGAATCTCCCCATGAAACGACCGCGACCCCACAGTGCCGACCAAGATCGCCATAATTGATTAAATCCAGCCGCGCGCTGGCACCGTCGCCATGAGTTCGGGTGCGCGCGCGGCGTTTGCGGCGTTTCCAACCAATCTCGATATCCGAGACTTTGTCAATTCGAAAGAGAACATTGTATTCGCAACTCGCATAACCTGCGATTCTATCGACGAGTATCCGCTGGAAGAATTTGAAAATTTGATTTACACTCATGTCATTCGACTTGGAAAACCTCTGGTCATTGAAGGATTTGAGGACCGTCTCAACCAGAACTTGTTCTCAGTGGACTGGCTGCGGAAGTACAAGGGAGGTCAAAGTAGGTTCTTCACTTCCTCTGCTTGCGCATAATCGGATTGCTGACCGGAATATTCCCACGCAGGAGAAGAATGTCGAGATCTGGTCACCCAACAAAACACAAAGTTCTCGATCACACATTACCTGAATAGTATGTCGACACTCACCGAAGGCAATGTGGTTTCAAGACGGGAGAGAAGAACGGAACCTCAAAGGATCTATCTCAAGGACATCGACTGCCCGGAGGAATGGCACAAATCGTTGGAAACGATCATCCCTCCCTTCCTCTTCTATTTCAATGAGTCCCCAAAAGCCTACGCTGGCCCGGGCTCCAAATACACCGAGCTGCCACCCTGCCCTCGAACAGCGGAAAACATGCCAATTGCAAAGGCTGGAGATCTCATGAGTAGCTTGCCTGAAGAGATGCGCGCAAAGAATCTCATGTGCTACATCGGCCATGAAGGCACCTATACCGCAGCACATCAGGAAATGTGCGGCACTCTGAGCCAAAATCTCATGGTGGAGGCGTCAGATGGCACCCCCGAGGGCAACAAGACAGTGAGACCAGGATCTTCGATCTGGCTAATGACGGAGACTCATGAACGGCCCCTTGTATCCGAGTACTGGAGGTCGTTTCTTGGCCACGATCTTGACCTAGAAAACCACTTCGCACAGCTCGAAGCTTGGAAGAAAGCCCCATTTACAACATATGTGGTTGAGCAAACCCCCGGGGATCTCGTTCTTGTTCCTCCTCTTTCTGTGCAGCAGGTGTGGAACCGCGGCACTAGAACAATGAAGGTCGCTTGGAATAGAACGACCGTTGAGACTCTGCGGTGGGCATTAGACGAGGAGCTTTCCCGTGCACGAGCGGTTTGCCGGGAAGAGTCATACAAGAATAAAGCGATCATCTACTACAGCCTGGAAAAATATTCCAAGCTGCTCGAACAAGACCCAAAACAAAACCATCCCAGCGTGGATGCACTCTGGGACGACTTTGAGTATTTGTTCAAGATGTTCACTGACATCCTCTTATCTGAAAGTTTCTCAACAGGGCCGCCAGCGAAGAAAGCAGAATACCTGGAATTCACTAGCGATGTGACATGTTCCTATTGCCGCTGTAATATCTTCAACCGCTTTTTGACTTGTGGGGCGTGTGTGGATGGCGAGGAGACTTATGATATTTGCATGGATTGCTATGTTTTCGGTCGAAGCTGCAAATGTATCTCTAAGCTGAAGTGGGTCGAACAGTTTCACTGGAAAGATCTCGAAGCTCGCCATGAAAAGTGGCGACTCCAGATCATGGCCCGCAATGAAAAAGAGGGATACGGGATGGATCATCCTGTCTTTTCTGCTGTCCGGGCTTCGATGACTCGAAAGTCCGTGGCGGAGATTTGCCAAGAGCAGCTTCGTGTGCGCCCCTGGGTCGACTGCAACAAGGAAGTGAAACCAACAACCCCCAGTGACTCTGAGTCCGAAGAGGTCCACGGGCGTCGATCCGCAAAACGTCGTAAGACCAACAACAACAACAACAACAACAACAATGCCAAGACCAAGGACAAGCCGGTCAAAAAGAAGCCCGGCGAGATGGGACGCTGCCACACTTGCAAATCTCGACCTATCTGGACACTAAAACACTGTTCAACATGCGACTCACAGTACTGCTACGGTTGTCTCTTCCGTCTCTTCGACCTGCCACCAGAGCAGGCCATGCAATTTTCCGTTTGGGAATGCCCCAAATGTAAGAAGATTTGCAGCTGCGCCGGCTGCAACAAAAAAGCAAACATGATGGAGCCATACATGCCCCAAAAGATATTGCTTGGACACGACACACTCAAAGTTGCCGATGAAAGAAGTGTCGAGTCGCTGGTTGATCTTCGCCAGTCGAATGTTGGATGGATGAAGAAGTTCCAGCGCATTAAACCTCATTTCATTCAACAGCGCCTCGACAAGCTCAAGCGCGATGCCGAGAAGGCGCGCGAGGCCCTGGACGAGACCAGGGATATCTTCCAAGTTGACGAGAAGATCATCGCTGAGCAGAACGGAGCGCATTTCGACGATGCGTTGGCAAACGTTGCGCAGATGAACGGTCCTCAGATGAACGATGATAGCATTGTCCGGGAGGTCTACGAGCCTAACGATCTGCTCGTGGACCCCTCACTGCGCCTCGATGACACTTTCGTGGCGACCCTCGACCCTGCTCTGGGCTGCGTGTGATGACTGATTCAGATTCTTTTCTCTCCCGACTATCCGGGGCCCAACAAGTTCCGCCTATGGCTTATTTCAGCGACTTTACTGCATTTACCACATACCCTGTGCCAGCATAGTTACATCTACCTTGCTGTACCTTTAATAGGATTACGACGATATGACGAATTTCAAATGGATTCCGCTTAACAAAGATGAACATTCTAAGCACCTTTGTACTCGTATTGAAGATCCTTGAGAGTTGCAAGGTCCACCGAAAGCATAGTGTCCTTCGCAAGTAAGATAACCGCGAGCATGACTAAAGGGCGGAAGAATCAAAGGATGAGTTTCTTTCTGTACGGCCAAGAGGAGTTCAAAACATAAATTCAGAAGACTTACCTCCAGGAATCAAATATAAGACCGGACTGATAATAAAGGAGGAACCTCCACGCAAGAACAGGAGGTAGATCAGAGTAAGCAGAACGCCCACTGCACCGTTGACAGGCAACAGAGCAGAATGGATCTTTTCCAACCGCTCATTTTCCGGTGAGAGTGGTTTCTTGCCCTTCCGATCTGGGTGCAGAGGAGCTAACCTCATCATGTAAGCCGTAGCCAACAACGAGAGTATTCCCAGCAGCGAAAGCAGCCTTTCGCCGAAGCTCTGCGCGGTAAACAGAGATGGCAGGAAAGTCAGAGTGGAAACCAGTGGAATCGCAGTAAACACGAGCTGTAGAGCTGTCAGCAGCTATTCCCTTTCATTCATTTATCTAGAAAGGGGATGGAAAAGAGAGATGGGACGTGGATATAACATTACATACACTGTACTGCGCATTCCGCGCCTCGTTCTGCTGCTGCAACTGTTGAATCACCCGATCTTGTTCCTCCTCATCAAGCTCCTCGCGATCATCGTCCGATTCCTCGGGATATCGAAATGCTTTACGCAGCCTCACAGCCGCCATGTTGAGCAGGAATATCTGTAAGAAGCAGCCTAAGAGTCCGTGACGTCGGGAGGATATCTCATGTGAACAACAGCGGGTGCGGCTGTGTGTTTGTCCTGTTTGTCTGGAATTTCTCACACCACCCGCAACTTCACCTTCACGCTCCGACTCCGAGATCTACACAATTCCATAACTACAACTTGAACCAATTCCTCCCACCCAATCCACCCACACACAACACTCGCCAAAATGCTCTTCCCACGAGCCCTCCGGCGCGCCGGAACTCGCACTATCCAACAATCCCGCAGCGCATCCGGACCCCGCCCATCCCCCCGACGCACCATCATGCCAGCCCCAGGACCCAACACTGGACCTATCATGGAACGCCGCGCAGACCGCGAACTGCCCTCCCTAAACAAAGGCCGCGGCTGGCTGTACTCTCTGCCGATTTTCATCGTCGCTACCGGCGCGGGTATGCTGGGTATATTCAATTACCAGAAAAGCTCTAGCAGTGTTGTGAATAGTACGCTTTATGCGCTGCGGACGTCGACGCAGGCGCGCGATATCCTCGGTGATGAGATCTATTTTGCGCAGCAGATTCCTTGGATTTCGGGCGAGATGAATCAGTTGCATGGACGGATTGATATTTCTTTTTGGGTTAAGGGGACTAAGGCGCAGGGGAAGATGAGGTTTCGGAGTATTAGGCCTGATCGGTTGAGTTTTGTTAGTTTTGTCCCTTTCTCCCACCCCTATTTTCCCTGGGATTTGCTCTTTGTGAGCGGTATTGGATTATTGGCTGACTTTTTTTCTTCTCAATCTAGTTCCAAACTGAGGTGTGGAGCTTGGAGACTGAGGATGGAACGGTTGTGCAGCTGCTAGATGGCACCGATCCTTTCCGACAGGATTAGATTTAAGGGAAAAGACAAAGACCAACCGGAGCGGTTGCGCAGAATTTTGTACAAATATTTGACTGCTTGTGCATAGGATTGGCGTTTTGGGATCATTACGGAAAGGTTTATTTGCAGTCTTGTCTACGCTAAATGCGTGGTCTGACGGGGGAGCTTTGAAGAAGAAAAGGATATCATTTGAATGTATCATATACAAACGCCGCTCAAGAGAACAATATTGCGCGAATGGTGTAGTGTTGTAGTAGTACATAGCTGCCCGTGTTGTCCAATAAACCTAGACCGTAACAGCTTCGGCCTCAGCAGCAGGGGCAACCTCAGGCCAGGGCTTCTTAACCGCATCCTGGATGCGGACGACGCAGCCCTTGGGACCGCTAACGTGGCCTAGAGAGGGCGAGGGAGTTAGTAAAACGCAAATTGCAAACATCCAGCGAGGAAAGCTGGGGGAGAGGAGAAGGGGAACCTACCGCTCACGACAACAACGCCAGTATCACGATCCACCTTGAGGATCCTCAAGTTCTGCACAGTGTTCTGGGTATTTCCCATATTTCCGGCCATCTTCTTGCCGGGTAGACACGAGAACCACCACCCTGACCAGGACCCGACGAACCCATAGAACGATGTTTCAAACTCACACCGTGAGAACGATCCTGACCACCAAAACCGTGTCTCTTCATAACACCAGCAAAGCCCTTACCCTTCGTATTGGACTTGGTGTCAATGAACTGGCCCTCCTGGAACCAATTGGCATAGATACTCTCTCCAACCGGCAAAAGACCCTCCTCACTCTTAACGCGGAACTCATAGACATGACGCTTGGGCGAGAGGCCATTGGCGGCAAAGTGTCCGAGCAGCGACTTGGTCATGTTGGACGGGTGTTTCCAGCCCGCACCAACCTGGACGGCGTAGTATCCATGCTTCTGGCGAGTCTTGTGCGAGACGACCTCGACGCGGTCGAGCTGGAGGACTGTGCAGGCGGTGCGCTTTCCGGACTCCGGGTCGAAGATCGCGGTCATGCCCTTCTTTGTGGCGATTGCGCCGGTTCGCAGGGGCAGGGAGTTTGCTTTGCGGAGGAGGGCGGCGGTCGTGCTTGATTCGAGGACGGGCAGGTTGGCGCCGACGTTGAAGCGGTTTGGTTTGGGCTCATTGAGGGAGCGGATGCCGAATCCTCGGATGGGGATGAGGGGAGCAGTGATTGCTCCCGTGCCCTCGCGGAGGAGGAAAGCTGCAGGAGCTTCCCTGCTAGACGTGGCGACATGGTTGTGGGTGGTGAAGTTGATCGGATCGGACTTGAATGTTCCAATGGGGTTGGCGTGGAAAGTTTTTGGTCGGATGAGTAAGCATCCAGACAGCATAACTTAAACTACGGGCTACGGTGAGTATAGTTCACCCAAAGATCTCTGTATTCCTATAAATCTATCTTTACTTTTTGTAGAAGGACTGGGAATGGATTGGGCGATACTGAATATCGGTATATTTTACCAATTCAAATACCTCGAACGCCTCCAGCATCTTGAATCCCACCCAGCTTAGCAGATCTATACACAACATCCAACATAAGCACTCTATTACATAGGAACTTGAATTAATCCATCCAGCAAAACGGAACCCAAGAGAAGCAGCAAGTTCAACCAGTTAGTGGCAGTTACCAGGCCATGACTCAAGCCGAGAATAAAAACCGGGATGGGATGGCGATGCAAAGTATACTCCTAAGCCCACAGGCCGAGACTAACTCCGAACGGACCGAACCCGCCGACGCCGGAAAGGATCGCCCCAAAAAAAGCCAACAACCCGCAGCCTCCAAACACTCAGACTCACTTCTCACTTCCCACCCACTTCTCACCCTCACTCTCACCACATCTACCACCTACAAAACCCACTCTAGGCTCACCACCCAACCTAGCGGGTCCTCCTATACGGCAAAAGAACCATGTCCCTCCGACCAACGCCAAATTTCACCCGCTGGCTCACCCAGCCAACACGCGCAACCACCATCCTCCGCGCAACGCAAATACAAAGGCCCGCCCTCCGCCCATTCTCCCTAAGCAGCGCGCGCAGCAACACACGAACCCTATCAACGAAATATACCCAACCATTCCAGCGACCCAACCCTCGCTCCAACCAACATCAATACCAAAAGCGCTTCAATTCAACCAACAACAGCAACCCCAATGCGCAAAGACCGAACCAAGGCCACCAACAACAGCAAAGCAGCAAAGAACCAAGCGGTCTATCTGCACGCCTAAAAAAGCTCACCCGCGAATACGGCTGGGCCGCGCTGGGCGTGTATCTAACGCTCAGCGCGCTCGATTTCCCATTCTGTTTCGCGGCCGTGCGATTGCTGGGTGTTGAGCGGATTGGACATTTCGAGCACGTTATTTTGGGGTATTTGAAGGGGGTTTTTGGGCCGATTTGGCCTGGTTCTTTCTCTTCTTCCTCTTCTTCTTCCCCGCCGAGGAAGGTGGCGAGGAGAAGGAGAAGAAGGGCGAGAAAGAGGTTGAGGGAGACGCCGTTCTCGGTGCGGATGGGACTACTATTGTTGGCAAGGCTGGGGAAGCGAGTACGTATATCATACCATACTATACCCTTTGCTATACTATGTACTGCCTAGCAAGCAAGCCATGGAGGAGCCTATTAGCTAACTCAAACTCAACTCAGGTATTTGGACCCAACTTGTCTTCGCCTACGCCATTCACAAGAGTCTTCTTATTTTCGTGCGTGTTCCGTTGACGGCGGCCGTGACGCCGAAGGTTGTTAAGGTTTTGCGTCGATGGGGTTGGGATATTGGGAAGCGGGCGCCGAAGAGTACCTAGGGAAATCAACCCGGGAAGCCGTGATTTCCCGACTCTACTCTACTCTACTCCACTCTACTCTGCTTACTTACTTGCTTGGGCCCATTTTTGTGTAATTCTTAGAGAGCTGGGAGGAGGGATTTGTCTAGAAGGTTTTCATTTTTTTATTTGGTTTTTTTTGGTGCTGATTTTGGGAGTATAGAGAGCATAGCGAAGTTGGAATTGTACATTACATAGATAGAGGATCTCATCTAATTCAATCCGGTCTGTGGACCGTCCCCGCTCAAGTTGAATTGCGATCTACAAAAAAAGGAAATGGAAAGAACATCGGGAAGAATGGAGGGGAGGGGATATCATACACGCCATTCATAAAAGTGGTAAATGATAATATCTGATAGAGTGCCTAACTCCGTAGAAAGTAGAGAGCCACATGGCCATGGCCATGGGCATAGCCATCACGTTCCCATTCTATGTAAGATATCAATCAATGCCACGCCAGCAAAGCTAGACCAGGAATGAACAATCGCAAACAGACATAGCATAGCATAGCTACTTGATTCTCGTGGTCTTTGTCTCGTAAATAAAGAAAAGGGATGGGAGGGGAAGGGGAAGGGGAAGGTAACATAAACGGGATGCAATATTGGCATGCTAGATGGGAGAGACAAGGGCAAGCAAGTGTTGTGTTGTGTGTGAACAAAGGGCAAGGTAAGGTAAGGTAGAGTAAGTAAGGGTGTTTGTTGTTGTGGTTGTGTTTGGGGAGGTTACATGTCGATCGTATCGTTGAATCTCAAGATGCCGTTTGCTTTCATCACGCCATTTACACCGTCTGGCATCCTGTATGCCCAGTCCGCCACGCCCAATGCGCTGGTGGTGTGGAGAGCCTCGCTGTCCGGCTGCCCCATTTCGTCTGAGGTATCGGCGACCAAGACGAGGCCGAGTTCTTTGATTGTTTCCACGAGGGCGGGGACAACGTTCTATAGAGACGGTGTTAGTGGTGAGGGCTGCGCGGGGGCTAACGAGAAGGGCAAACGTACCAAGAGGCTGGACCGGCAGATTATACCCATGAAGTTATTGCTCTGAGATATCCGGGCAGATTCCTTGATTGACATTGAGGCCCGTCCGCTGCTGTCCACGTGAGGCATGGAGTCTACGTTGCGAGCCAAGTCGCGGATCTGTCCGAGGTCGTTGCACAGGAGAACTGGGTCTGGAGGAGTTGTTAGTTGGTAAATGGATGCCTGGCGGGGTGACCATGATGATCGTGTGGTTGAACTTACAGTTCGGTTGCTTCCAGTTCAACGCTGCACAGATGTTCGCATTATACGAGGTGAACACAACAGAGCGCATAAAGTCGGGGTTCGTCTCGCGGGCCACGCGAGCGTGGTCGAAGACATCGGTCAAAATTCTGTCAGCAAAGCTGTTGACATCGGCCAAAGAGTTCATTTCCAACGCCTTCTCGTCGGCGGCGGACGGGTAGAGGATAGATAGGTTGACATTGAGGTCGATGGGCAAGTCACGCAGGACCTCACGGAGAGACATGAAGGATGCCGCCAAGATGCGGTGGGCTTGTGGCATATTGCCAGCTGCCTTGGTCTGCAGGTACTCGGTAACTTCACTAGGATTGACACCTCGTTCGATACCAAGCCTTTGGAACTGAGCGTACGATAATTGCGAAACGGGGATGTCGATGCCGTGGTGGTCGATGGTGAACTGGGGGTATAGTACTGGTACACGATCGCGAGTCAATTGGATGAAAAGCTGCACATAATCACCTGACAAACTAGAGCCAGTGATAAGGCCATTGTGCTCAGAGTCCAGTGCGCTCGTGGCCTTCCAGTAGGTCGCGAAGTGCGTAATTTCCAAGGGATCGCCGTGGTATGGCTTGATGACCTGAAAGTTGAACCGCAGCTGACCGATGCTCCGGAGGCGAGGGTCAAACAATGGTAAGCAGCAAGATCCAGTGCTAGACTGCTCCGCGCGGAAGTTAATCGGTAGAGCCACACTCTTGGCGATAACTTTGGATCCAAAAGTAGGGAAAATCTCAAAGTCCACGGTGAAGGTGTCCAAGTTGTCAACGTGGAAGGATATTGATCGAGAGTCTTCTTGAATGGGTAGTACAATTGTGCGAGGAATAAGGTCGGAGAGTTTGGAGGAAATTGTCAGGCGAGCAGCGGGATGCCGGCCGGACTGGTCGAAGGTAATCGAGCCAGGCGTCCCTTGGTCGAAAAGAAGCTGCACAAACACCTTCTTGTCGAGGAAGTTGTGGCCGTATCTTCGGAGGGGAATAATAGGGAGGGGCAGTTCGAGGTCGGGAATGCCATCGGCCATATCCATCTCAGCTTCACTGGCACGTCTAGAGGCACTAATGTCCTCTACCATGGGGTCCTGGAACTGTATACCATTCAAAATATCAAGAGGACCCCAAGATCTGGGTTTTTGGGAAGGCTGGGCCCAGAGCAGGAGCATGCACTCGAGATGCCCTTCCCAAGCTGCGTAGTACATAGATGAGAGGCCCTTCTCGTCCACAACCTTTGCATCCACTCCAAGTTCCAACAATGTGCGCAGGCATGGCACACAGCCTTCGCTGGCCGCGTGAAAAAGCGGCGTCCACTGGTACAGCTTGTCTCGTTGATCAAGGTCGGCTCCATGTTGCTTCAGAAGTAAAAGGAGCTCTGGCGATTGCGAGGCACGCGCAACCATATGTTGGGGATAGAGTCCCTCTGCATCTGGCAAAACCTGCGCATTGCGTTCAAGGAGCATCTTCACGATCGGGAGAGAGCCGTGCTGGCAGGCAAGATTGAGGGGAATATGATCTGACTCGGAGGTCGGATCAATACGAGCGTTGCTTTTCAGCACCTGCTCAGCACACGCTAGCTGGCCCTTGACAATACTGTGGATCAAAGGAGTGAAGTTATCGTGGTCCATAAGATCGACCGTATGCGGGCCCACTGCCAGGAGCTCCCGCACCATCCCTGCCCTGCCATTCCTACAGGCATAGTGCAGAGGGATCCGCCCATATACATCTGAGCGAGATATGTCAACCTCGGCTGCCAGTCCAGCCTTGAAAACAAAGTCTCGCCCCGAGATGGTCGCCTCGTGCAGACAATTTCGCTCGTTGATATCATCTTCTGCGTGGATATCAACCAGTCCACTCTCCAAAAGCAGAGCAAGAACATCGTCTGAGAAACCATTGATCGCGGTTAGGAAAGTCCGGGTCGCCCGATCACGAGCATCCGCAGAAGAAGACAGCCTCACCAGCCACTCGCGCAAGTTTTGAAGATTGCCAGTGGAGGCGGATTGTAGGATTTGCTGGTCCAGCTCCTCTTCCTCCGATCCAAATGTAAGCGCCGGGCGATCTGAAGGTCGAGACGAATCAAACTGTAAGTTCTCTCCCTCCGCCCAGGCCTCCAGCTCTAACCTAGCCGTCGTGGCTCGGTCTGCGAGATCACGGAGGACTTCTCTGTTGAAACACGGTTGTACTTCGACTGCACGGTGTAGATAGAGCTCCTTCATGCGGGACTTGGAGGTTTTGTCCCATTTCTTCAAAATCTTGGATACGCCGGTTTCGTTGATCTCCACGAATTGCTGTAGTTTGTTCAAGTCACCATCGAACTGCTGGAGGCCTTCAAAGAGAGCCACAAAGTTCGAGGGGGCTTTGGAGTTGGAGACGGTCCGAGTTTGGACTAGGCGCTTCTTGTCGACTAGTGTTTTGAGTCGTAGCGAAAACTAGATGAACATATGTCAGTTTGATGCATCCTTCCTTCAACGGGCAAGTCAGGATCAGCCTACCTCTGATTCTTTTTGGAGGTAAAAGGTATTGACCTTCTCGATTTCGCGTTCCTGTAGCGCGCTGATTAGTATACATTTGCTGGCTAGCTAGTTGAATCCGTCCGGCTTCTTACCAAGCGAAAGAAGAAGACTTCCTTATTGGCGCGGAGGGCAGCCTGGGGGTCCAAAGTGCCATCCTGGGCGATTTCCTCGGCGGTTCTCTGCGCAGGAATGGTTGGCGTGGCACTGAGTTGCTTGATCAGCTGCAAAAGGGTCAGCGGTGCCTCCAATGAAGTGTAGTTGTATTGTTGTCATCCATATGATGTCAGCAATGTGCACCCACCTTTTTTAAAGCCTTGTAATTCACGAAGCTGGCCGCATATTCGGGGAGATCAAGCTGCCGGCGCTGAATCTGCTTTCCGAATTTCCTTCATAAGTGATTAGCTTTTTTTGTTTCGTGGTGCGGCGATTGCGCTGGAGGGGTACTCACATCTTAGAAAGCTCTCAGGGCGAGAGCGCCAGCGATGTTCTGGAGGCAGACGTGAGGGGTAATTTAGGAGATCCCGCCTCGAGGGATCAATTGTTGAAAAGCGCGAGGATTGGAGAGGGGGGGGGAGGAGAGAGAGAGAGGGAGAGGGAGAAGAGGAAAGATGAGAAGAGAAGAGAAGGGTTCCGGGCAGGACGTGGCGTGGCCAGACAAGGTCCAGGGAAACCTCGAGTCGAGGGGGAGGGGCCGGCGCAATGAGGGTGGGGACGGCAGTGATGGGAGTGGGACAGGCGCGCAGTGTCACTGTATGACAGGGAGGTTGATAGATGAAGCCCGTTGGCAGTCCATGAACGCGGGGGATTGGAGGTTGCTCTGGTGGACACCGCTCGGCTAGTCGGAAACGAACAGACGGCAGAACAGGGCGAAGAGCTGGAGTGAGTTGAATAAGATAAGACTGTGAACTGCTGGTATAGGCGACTCGACGACCAGAGATGTTCCTAGGGGCAGCCGATGGTACCCTATCAAAGTAGACTTGGAGGAATCGCGGAGGAACTAAAGTCGTTCAGTGGGGAGCTTCGGCGGGTGCCAATCATCGCATCCAGCCGGAGCACGTTGCTTGCTGACTGGGCAGTGGGGCTGAGTTCTGGTTAGGTTAGTTTGGTTAGTCGTTAGTCCCTTTTATTAATATTAATATTAATATTATCTCTACGGAGTAATATTAAGACTGAATATATTGATGGAGGAGGAAATAGGCGAGTCTAGTGGAGAG